ATTTTGGCATTTAGGACACATTTTACTCCTATTTATTTTCTTTTTCCATATGATAGTGATGAGGATAGAAAATGTTTATAAAAAGAATGAGGGGGAAATTGATGTGGGATCGGACTAACGTTGCAACCATCTAATTACTACTTGTAAGATCTAAGTTTAATTCCTGACAATTGTAGTAAATTAGTACTTGTAGGCCTCAAGTTTAATTCTTGTCATCTGCACTATGTGGTAACTCTGTTAAATATATGATCTCTTCAAGTATTATGTGCAGGTTCACTTCCTGCCACTAATTTACGGTCAAAATTCAATTTATTACACCTGGTATTGACCATACATCCTTGTTTTTTTTCTAATTACTACTTGTACCAATCAGTTCAATGCGTAGGCTTTTTTTCACATAGCACTTTTTTGTTTTCCAAAAGCAAAGGCATTTGAATTTTGAAGTGATCGTGCAAGTAGTTTCCAACTCTCCACTAATCAACCAAAGGCACATCCATGCAAATATAATTGAAGGGATGAAGCATTGCTTTTTGATTCGTGACAAATCAAAACACTATGATGAATGATGACTATTGTGATTGATATTGTCTTCAAATTAAAGTATCTATTCCAATTAGTTAATATTTATTTATTTTTTTGGTTATTTGGTAAAATAATTAATATAGTCATGTCACCTTCATTTTTATAGAATTTTTAATATAGTTTTTAAATATTTAATTTTATTTTTTAATTTTAAATTTATAATCAAATAAATTAAATTGAAAATAATTTCGATTAGACCGTGTAAATTGAAACAAAAAACTAATTTTAGGTAGGATAGGATTTTAAGACAAAGGGAGCAATAACCTTTCAGTTTTTCTACTCTCTATTATAGGTCTGCATCCAATATTTTCATAACTTATTTAGAATTTAACTTTTTTTAGGTATATATGTGATCCCTCTATGTTGGGGATTAGGAGCTTTGTTTGAGAGGAATGTTAGGACACTAAGAACCATTTGAGCATCATATTATAGATAGATTATCTAAATGGAGTGAGGTGAGAAAAATAAGAGAAAAGTGATACTATTTCTTTCTAAATTAATCCTTCTAGTTTGGATGGGAGTGCATTTATGGTGCACCATGGGTGCATACTATTTATATGGACATTCTCATATAAAAATTTTCTTTTTAATTTTTTTTAAAATATAGATACTTATTTAAGTAATAATAACAAAATGTTTATTTTGCTCATATGTAGGGTCATGATAAACCTTAAGTCCACCATACAATTTACCTCTAGTTTGACGTAGAATTTTGATTGAGAGTGATGTAGAAGTTAAAAAAAGGTGAGCTACAAAAAAGTTTTTCAAAAAAAGATGAAGATTAATTTATACTACCCAAAAAGAAAAATAAAGAAAATTAATTTAAAGCGAAAAAGATATAACATAAACATAAAGAAGATTAATTTTCTTTTTATTCTATATAGAATGAAAAGAAAATGATTAGATTGGTGTAAGCTATTCCCTATATGGGTAATTTCTTGTTTATGGATGTCATTAAGTATACGCCACGAATGATTGAGTGATGTGTGCATTCCAAGCCCTATCTTTATCTCTATACTCCCTCCGTTCCACAAAACCCTTCCGGTTTTGACTTTAGAAAAAAATAAGGAAAGTGTAATTTTGGTTGACTTTTCAATTTTGCCCCTGATGTGATGGGAAAAAGTAAAATGTGATAGTTTGGTTATTAGTGAAAAAGTATGATGTGATAGGTAGGGTATGAAAAAGTAGGGGTAAAAGTAATTTTTTAATAGAAAGTAGAAGTGTTTTGTGGAAAGAAAAAAAACGAAAGAGAAAGGGTTTTGTGGAACGGAGGGAGTATTATTTGAATTGAACAAAACAAATACAGTTGGAAACATTTTTTGTTTTGTCTTCCATTTTTTTTACGGTAGTGCTTATGCTTTCCCACTAAAGTAAAGTAGAGTAATAAATTTAAAAGGGTGCCCCTTTCTCGAGTTCTTGCCAAAGAGTGAAGCCTGCACGTGGTATCTTCAAAGACTTATGCTTAGCTTAATTACCTCCCAGTATAGTTATCAGAAATCGAACTCAGGTCTAACTTTCTTGTGAAATAAATATAAGAGAGGGAGGGAGAATTTGTGAGTTGAGTAAAAAAGGAAAGAGAGTCCAATGGAATTAAGGACGAAGGAGAGGTCTTTAATTTGTGGGCAGCGCGTCACATGTCCTTTGACGGTCGGGTCGCTACATCCATAATTACTCACTTTTCATCCTCACATTTTTTTCTATTTTACGCAATATAATGCTCCTCCATCTTTATTAAATGTTCATTATACCACGCTCTCTCATATATATGCCAATTATGCTTAACAATGTGTTTGGCAAAGGAAGGGGGTTGAGAGGTAAGAATAGAGCCCGCTTTGAAAAATGACCGGCCTGGTCTGAAATTTACATTTTGGGCCTTATTTTATTATTTTATTATGATTATATTTCAAAATTAATAATGAATTTAAAAATATGGAACCCTGAATTTTAGGGGTCCTGTGCGGTTGACCATTTTGCACACCCTCCGGGCCACCCATGGGTAAGAAATTGAAGGGAAGTTGATGGAACTTTTATGGAGTTGTTTGGTCGGAAGGAAGTGTAGAAAAAATTGGAAAAAAATTAATTTATCTTGTTTAATTAGAAGGAAGTTGAGGGGTTCCAAAAGAAAGGAAGTTGACAAGAAAAATAATTATTGAAATAATATTATAATTGTTCTTTAAAAAATCATTAAACTAAATAATTATTCACAAATTTAAATCTTATTACTCACATTCAAAAGTACGGGCCCGTCATCAAATAAAATATGGGAAGAAGATTTGTAAAGTATTTGATGATAAATCAAACCAAAACAACACCATACCCAGGGGCGGACCCAGGAATTTCGGAGAGTGGGTTCACATTGTGTACAAAAGAAAAATGTTGATATTTGTATAATAATAAATCTAAGACTTCAAAGATGAAAAAGTATCAATGAATATCATTTTGAGATTAATATTGTGAGTGATATGTAATCCCTCCGTTCTCAAAAACACTTTCTCTTTCATTTTTTTCACATCTTACTTTTATCCATCACATTAGAGGCAAAATTAGAAGTCAACTATAATTTAACACTTCCTTATTTTGGCAAAAAACCAAAAGTAAATTCGAGCAAACAGTTGGGACCTTAAGCAAAGTTCAATTCTACCCCTGACGCACGAACGCTTGCCTCCTTAAGCAGATTTGAAAAGTATTTGATGATAAATCAAACCAAAACAAAATTATACGGTATACCCCGTACTAGTTCAAGTATTTGAATCCAAAATTAGAACAAAACACACAATATTTGTAAACTTAGGCTAATCGCCCATCCAATTAGCATATTTTAATACTAAAACATTAAAAATAAAAAAAAGACACAACCCTATGTGGCTATGTCTAATTATCAGGTCCTTGCCGTTGCATGGAGGGTAGGTTTTTTTTAAGGTAAATAATCGATAACTCTAACTACAATACTTGATAAATAAATATAACTAATAAACTACTCCCTCCGTCCCTTAAAACATGAGATGTTTTGATTTTAAGAGATTAAATGGGTGTATTTTGGTATTGAATTTCCAAAAAATGTCTTTTGATGTGATGGGTAAAGATAGGATTTGATGGCTAGATTATTAATAAAAAGGTATGATGTGATAGGTAGGGTATAAAAAAGTAAGGGATAAAAGTGATTTTTAATAGAAATAAAAAGTATTTTCCGGGACGGATGAAAAAAGAAAGGAAAAAGGTTTTCAGGGATGGAGGGAGTATTAAATATTACTCCCTCCGTCCCACAAAAAAGTTCACATTTTGACCATAAATTGGTCAAACAGTTACATGCTTTGACCACAAATTAAATATAATCTAAATAAAGAAATGTTAAAAAAATTTGAAATATCAAAACTAGATCCTAAGATGAATCTAATTATATTAAATTTATTTTATAATTCAATATACCTTTCTGACAATTTGTAGTCAAAGCGTGTAAATATTTGACTAAATACTATTCAAAATGTGAACTTTTTTGTGGGACGGAGGGAGTATAATATAACATCAATAACATATATTCCCACCCCTTAGAAAACCACCTTGTCCTCAAGGTGGAGGATCTCACTCATATTTTTAGACATGTGAGAACATGTTGACCCAAAAAAGACATCCATTTGTTAACTAATCTTCAAGAAGCTTCTCAAGTGAACTATAGCGACATAAATAAGAGAGAAGACCAAACTTGTGTTGAACTGTGTTAAATATATTCTATATTTATGTTAAATATATTCTATATTTATTGTATATATCTTGTTTCCTATTATACTCTCCTACTTTACGTAGAATTAGGAATACTTGTATATATAAACATATGTACTCTCACACAATGATTCAAGGAAAATTAACACTCTTCATGGTATCGGAGCCCTATTCCTAAAACCCTAACTCCCCCCTTCGGCAGTCTCCCCCTCCAGCGCCGCCCTCCACCGGCGGTCTCCTCACCCAGCGCTGCCGATCTCTCTTAGCGATCCTCCCTCCAGCATAACACCGCCCTGCTCCTCGGCGAACTTTCTCGGTAATCTCCCCTCCTTCGTCAGCTGTCCCTCCAGCGCTACACCTTCTTCGACCCCAATCTTTTAGCGCTGCAACTCTCTTCTCCTTCACCATGTCCTCCTCCGACAAAAATACTGAGAACTCAACCTTTTCCTCCTCTAATTCTCCTCATCTTGCCTTCACTACAATATCCAACATCAAACTTCATGTCCCTATACAACTCAGTTTCTCTCAACCCAACTACAAAAAGTGGAGGCAGCTATTCCTTCTTTTGGTGCACCGATTCACGTTGCATGGTTTTCTCTCTGGTTCTACTACCCCCTCCTCTGCTGAGGATGATGAGTGGTTCCAGCTTGACACCCTGATTCAAGGCTAGATCCTGTCCACTATTACTGACGAAGTTTCAGATCTGGTAATTTCTTCTACCTCTACTGCCGATGAGTTATGGTGTGTGATTTATGATCTGTTCCATGATAACAAACACGCTCGGGCAATGCAACTAGAGCACCAGTTCCACACCACGGTCAAGGGCACCATGCCTATGGCCACATATTGCCAGACTTTGCAGAACATTGCTGATTGGTTGGATGATGTCGATGCTCCGGTACCAGAGTCTCAACTTGTGCTTCAAATGCTTCGTGGGCTACCAGAGGATCTTCAGGCCTAGACATCTTTCTTGTAATTCAACAACCGCTGTTTACGTTTCTTCAAACCCAGTTCGCCCTACTACTTTTGGATCGACAATGGCTACCACTAAACGATGACACCGGAACGACCCTCTTGGCAGGCCGAACCGGTGGCCCACAACAAGGAAACAACGGCGGCAGCGGCGGGCCAAGCCGCGGCAGTGCATCCTTCTCCAGTGGCATCAGCGGCGAAGATCGCGGACAACATAGGCGCAACTACGATCGAAACGGAGGCGGCCGTGGACGTGGACGATGAAGGAACTCTGGCCCGCAACGACACCCATATGACGGTCACGTACCCTGGAACTCACCAAACCCCAACCCCAGCTCAGGCCTCTTAGGCCCCCGCCCCCTAACCCCACCCTACCCCAACGCCCTATGCCCACTACACCTACAACCCCAACCCCCACCCCTTCCGTATAGCCACCCCAACTATCCCACCGCACCCCTACCTGCCACCCCATACCCCACACACTACCCGCAACCCCCACCATTCCACCCACAGGCTCCCAACCCCACACCCACAACCTTAGCACATCAATTTGATACCATGAACCTTCGGGAACCCACATGGTACTTTGACACGGGAGCCACGCATCACATTGACTTTGATTCAGGTACTATTTCTCATGTCTCTTCTCAAACGTTAAATTCTCCAATATATATCATTGTAGGCAATGGTTCTAAGGTGAGCAATACGAAGGTGGGAAACCACACCCTTCCCACCAACCCCCCTTTATCCCTCAATAATATCCTAATCTCTCTCCACATTATCCATAACCTTATTTCTTTTCGCCAGTTTACGCGTGATAATAACTGTTCAATTGAATTTGATGCTCATGGTTTTTTTTGTGAAGGATCCTCGAACGGGAACCGTGATTCATCGGTCCAATAATACAAGCCCACTCTACCCCCTGCATCCCACGTCCCCAGATCAAGCCCACAGTGCGTCTGTTGACATTCATACGTGGCTTTGGCGCCTCAGCCATCCCAACCCGGCTGTTCTCCGTGGTGTCTCCAGTCCTTTTCAATATTCTAATAATAATAATTTATTTTATGCTTGTCAACTAGGAAAACATGTTCATCTCCCATTTTATCCTTCATGTCGTGTTTGTTCATTTCCTTTCGAACTGTTACATACTGATTTATGGCAATCTCCTCTTCTCAGCATTACTGGTTTTAAACATTACATGTTATTATTGGATGATTTTTCTCACTATCTCTGGGTATTTCCTTTAAAGCAAAAGTCTGATGTTTTCACTCATCTTACTCCTTTTATTAACTATGTCAAAAATCACTTCAATACAACTATTAAAACAGTTCAATGTGACAATGGTACATAATATCGCAACTAACCTCTTCGCTATGTGTTTACCTCCTTAGGCATCCTGTTTCGTTTTTTGTGCCCCCACATTAGCAAACAAAATGGTCGTGCCGAGCACACCATCCGTACCATAAAAAACACCATCCGCACACTCCTTTTCCAGGCTCACCTTCCCCAGAATTCTGGGTGGAGGCTGTCCATATGACAGCTCACATATTTAATCTTCTCCCCACCATCCGCACACTCCTTTTCCACACTACATAATCAAATACTGCATGCCATCTGATATGCACATATTTTATACACTTTTTAGACATATTTTGAAGGAGTTTTGAGTCCCAATTGAATTTAATATTTATATTTTATTTCAATTTTCCGTTTTATTTTGAGAGAGCAGTCCTATGCTTGGTTTTATATGTTTTGCAGGTATTTTGAGGCCATTTGGACGCATTGAGAACAATTTCAAGAACGGAAAATAAACATGGAAGTTTGGGACCAAAATAAATGGAAGAGATTTGAAGAAAAGAAAGAAATAACAAAACACCGACACTGGATGGGAATCAAATACGGGATCAAGTGGCAAGACAAACAGCCTCATTTCCATGTGGGCTACTGTACCTGTGTTCACAATTGGTGCACTGTTTGTATATAATCCGTATATACGGATTCATCTATAAAAACACCTCCCTTCTCTTCATTTAAAGAGGTTGGAACCCCCACTTCTCACTCTCTCCATTTCCGAATTTCTTCTTTTTCCTCACTAATATCTCACCACTTTCTTCATCCAAACACATAAAAATTACTCTATCTTCATCATCATTTATCATATTTGGAGCTCAAGAACACATCTTCCCGTTTGTAAGATTTTTATGTTTGTAATAAATATTTATTTGTTTAAGCTCCAAACTATGAACTTCTAAATTCCATTGGGGTTACAAGTTGGTGTAATTAATTGTCCATCTTAATGTTTTAAATATTTTTAACATGGATTGTTGATTTTATTTTTACTTAGATGTTGTATTTAAAAATAAATAAATTTGGAATGTTTGTGATTTTTAATTAAGGGCCCAATCATAAACATAATTGTTAAAAAGGAATTTGAGCTAAAATTGAAATAATCATAAAATAGAACACTTTTTAATTACACCGTAAGCCTTCTCTACCTTTAACCGGGATTGAAGACTTTCGGGTGAACATAATTATTGAGTTGTATTTTTACACCATTAAATTGGGTAAACATACAATAAAATAATTATGGTTGCCGTTGTTACTAAATAATTACTCCGGATTTATCATTAGCGTGTTAAAGTCGGAGTGGTTATTATTTAGGTGAACTGCGAGAGCGTCCCTAAATACTTTTCTGCAACCCCACACATTCTATATAAAAATAAATTAACAATCCAACTTTTATAAAAACATTGGACAATTAATTTACCAATTTCTACCCCTAACTTTTCATCATCAAAAACTTTGTGTTGTTTGGAACTCTCTCTTTTTACACTTTTTATTTTATCTCTATAACCAAAAAGACCAAAAATATTTTACAACTTCTTTTGTAAACTTTTGTTTAAATTAAATTAACTCACGTTTCTCTGAGGTTCGACACCCTACTTACAAGGGTTTCTTTTTAGTTGTTATTTTTGCCCGTTCTATACTGCAAATCACCATCCTTGTAAAAACCCCACCCACCTACAATCACCTTCGTGTCTTTGGTTGCCTCTTTTTACCCCAACACCTCAACCACCGCCCCGCACAAATTAAACTAGCCCCACGCTCAGCACGGTGCATCTTCGTTGGTTACCCCTCCCAACAACGTGGTTACCGCTGCCTTGATCTCCACACTAACAAAATCATCATCTCCCGTCATGTCACCTTCAGTGAAACCGTTTTTCCCTATGCCCACACCTCATCACCTGCGGAACTCACCTTTCTTGACACCACGGAGGACGACCTACCTTACCTCACCCACCAACCCAATCACTCCACGAACCTCCAGCCCCTGGTCCACACCCCCTCAAAACCCGATAACCCAACCCCATCTTCCTCACCCTTCTCCTCGGCCCAAAACATCCCCACAACCAGTGTTGGGCCTTCGGCCCAGCCCACTACCCCAGCCAACCCACCCAACCCGTCATCTACCCATCCCCAACCGGCCCAACCCAACTCAGCCAAACCCATCCCAACTGGGTCTCCCCCCAATGGCCACCCCCCTCTAATCACAAACCAACACCCCATGGTCACGCTCTCAAAAACTGGCATCAGCTGTCCCAAGCACATTCTCAATTTAAACACCACTGTCCCTATCTCACCCTTGCCCCTCACCTACCGTAGTTCTATTAATGATCTAAACTAGCATACTGCTATGTGTGAAGAATTTAATGCATTGATTAAGAATGATACATGGAAATTGAACTAGTACCCCCCCTCACCAAAATATTATAACTGGAAAATGGCTTTTTAGGCACAAACTTGGCCCCACAGGTGAGTTAACCAGGTACAAAGCCCGATGGGTTGTTCGTGGCTTCAGCCCGAGGTACATAGTCGACTATGATGAGACTTTCAGCCCACTAATCAAGCTGGCCACTATCCACATTATTCTTAGCCTCGCACTCTCTCAGGGTAGGCCGATTCATCCGCAGGACGTCAAAAATGCCTTTTTTCATGGTCATCTTCAAGAAATTGTTTATGCCTCACAACCATCTGGATTCCAGGATCCTGCTAGGCCCCATTATGTATGCAAGCTCAAGAAGGCACTTTTTGGCTTGAAATAGGCCCCCCAATCGTGGTACCATCGTTATGCTGGGTTCATCTGCACACTGGGCTTCCACAGCTGCAAGTCTGATACGTCCCTTTTTATCTACTCTCATGGGACAGACATTGCCTACCTTTTTCTCTATGTGGATGATATTGTCCTTAGTGCCTCCTCCGACTCTCTACTCTAGAGACTGACTCAGCATCTCAAGAGAGAATTTGCTATGACTGACATGGGCGACCTTCATTTCTTCCTTGGCATTAATGTACATCGGACAACTCATGGCCTCTTTCTACATCAGACACAGTTTGTGCACGACATTCTTGAGCGTGCTGGCATGGTCTCTTGTCGCGCCATCTCCACTCCATTGTCAGTGCACTCCAGTATCTCACATTTACTCGACTGGATATCTCTTATTTTGTGCAGCAACTGTGTCTCCATTTACATACCCCACGAGATGTCCATCTCACAGCCATGAAGCATGTTGAGGTAGACATCCACTTTGTTCGTGACAAGGTTATCCGAGTTCTTCATGTGCCATCCTCTTCACAGTATGCTGACATATTCACAAAAGGTCTCCCGTCCACTTTGTTTATAGACTTTCGCACGAGCCTCGCGATTCGCCCACCACCAACGCGGCTGACGCCGCCGGGAGCGAGCATGTTAAATATATTCTATATTTATTGCACATATCTTGTTTCCTATTATACTCTCTTACCTTACGTAGGATTAGGAATACTTGTATATATAAACACATGCACTCTCACACAATGATTCAAGGAAAATTAACACTCTTGAAACCATTTTTTTAAAACCAGGTACTCAGCCTTGACAACATCAACAAGCTCAAACAACTTAATAGTGCCAACTAAAATGGGTGAGCACTGTAACGCCCTGAAAACCGGTCTAGAAATTTTAACTTTCTAGTACAATGAAATTAAAAATATAAAAAAAACAAACAAAATAAAAATATACGAATAATAATAATAATAAAATTTAAATTTATAAATGTTACTATTGTTTATTTAGAAACAATCTGGATTTAATTTAAACAATTAATTACTAGTAGAGATGAAAAAAATAGAATAAGGTGAAAGGGAATAAAAAGAATACTTTGGTTCTCTACTATGCAAATAATATAGTTTGTTCAAGTGAACCCATTTTCTTGACAAACAAATTATTATGTTAAAATGATGTGTCAAAAATATGGAATCCAACGGTATAAATTTTATATTTTTTTCAAAAAATATTGGAGAACTAAAACTTGGAAAATCGGACACGTAGTACTAAACCGACAGAGCGGAAAAACCTTTTTGTTTTCCCCTCTATTTCTCACGCCACATTGGATTGTAACCTCCCTTCCATCATTCATTTCACATCATTAAGAGGATTAATAATTTGCTTTTAATAATTTAATTTAGAAATAATTAAATAATATTTAATTTATTTAACAACCATTCATCTTCCCATCACTTTCTAGCACCTTCTCCCCACCCTATAAATAGGGGTTCTTAGGAAGGGAGAACACATAATCATTTTGGAAAAAAAAATATATTTATAGCTAAGTAGAGGGAGAGGGAGTGAGCTAGTAGGAGCGGGGTTGTTGTGTTGCTGGAAGGGAGATACGCGGGAGACGCATCACGGGATTATTCCGCCAAGATTTGTCCAACTATTGTTTTGTCAAAACCGATACTTAAGGTGTGCCGTTGACCCTAACCTTTAGATATATATTTCATGTTAATATATATTTGTTCATTTCCTTTTATTTTTATTAACATGAATTTACTCGTTGAGATAATAAATTAAAAGAGGAGGATACTGGTCATAATAATAATATATAAAAAAATATACATGTCAAACATAAATTTCACCTGGCTTCCAAAAAAAAAGTGAATATACATTTGCACACTTTCGGTAATGGCATAAATGAAGTTTTTATTCTTTATTATCATTATTATTATTAGTATTAGTACCATCATTATCTTCTCTACATATAAAAAATATAACCGAAGGAAAAAAAGTGATAACGAAAAAAAAAAGTTGATTAGTATAGTGATTAAACAATCGGCAGAGGTTTTTTTTCCTTATTATCATTGTTATTATTATTGTTAGTATTATTATTATTAGTACCATTATTATCTTTTCTATAAGAAAAAAAGTTTTAACCGAAGGTTAAGAAAAAAATAATTGATAACAAAAAAAGGGTTAGTAGGATGACTTTCTTTTGGCAATAGGTTTAACAAAAAAACAGTTTGGCTTTATAAACAAAAATGAAACTTTGTTTATGTCATAATAAACTTTTGTCGACTCCATTTAATTGTTTTTGTTTCATGTCGTAAGTGACCATAACTATAATAAAAAAATTGGTATGTTTGTTTCCTTAAAAATATTGGTATATGATTGATCAATGAATAGAGTTACAAATTTTTACGCTTTGGATGTCTAATTGATCAAGTCGCATGATGTTTTAGAAAATGAAAAGGGAACAACATCGTATGATGATTTTTAGAATGATCAAGAGATAAAAAACACGATTTATGTAAACGACTTTACTAGATTAATCAAACAAATTAGTGGACTAAGTAAAGGTTCAAAGTTTATTTTAACGACGTACCCTGACCAGGTATTGTCACGTTCTAGTATCTAAACCAAACTACATTTTAAGGCCGGACCGTGTCCATGTGGATGAGCCTATAAATAATCATACCACAACGTGCGCACAAGAACCCAACGATGACCCCGTGGGTCTAGGGTTCACTTCTGATTACAGGATCCGAGGTCACGGGGAGGTATCCGAAGTAAAACTACGAATCGACTGGTGCGGTGTTCCAGCCTAGTCACGGCTTAGTTCCTAATCTGTGGTTAACCTAGTAAGTCAAAAGTTTTCTAAATGTCACCAAGTAACTAATGAAAGTGAAATTATTTCCATCGATGATTTTTTTTAATTATGCGAAAAGTTTTTTTTTGAAATAAATTGAATAGCTTTAAAGGCCCAAAATATGTTTACATGTTATATATGTCTACTGATTATTTGCCACTCAGCTTATGCTGAGCGTGTAGTGTTTAACTGCACGCAGGTACTAGCAAGGAAAACAACTGCTGAGGAGGAAAGCATGGACTTGGAGGCCGTGCCGAAGGAGTTTTTTTAATATTTAATAATGAATAAGACGTCGAACTTAAATTTACTTTATTTTTGGGCTTGAACCCAAGGTTGTATTAACTGTGGATGTTTTTACTTTAAGTTTACGCAGAAAACGTTTTCTTTAAAATTCTCTTTAGCTATCAAAAAGAAAATATATTTCAGGAAAAAAATATTTTACAAAGTAACCCGGTTTTACTAGCATTCTAGTCTGGATGACTCGGGTCATCCAGGGTGGGGTGTTACAAGCACGCTTGCTTATAATTATAATATGCATCTTCCACTTTGTCGATAACATCATACTCTGCAATAACCATACCAACTGAGGTATTTATTGGTGTATAATATTTTTGAAAAGTAGGATCTAGCTTGTAAACATAACAACACCTTCATGCTTAGGATCACCATCAATTGCTTCCACAATGCTGGACTTCCCGTCATCTTCATTCATGGATTCAAATACATTGTTCACATCATCTCCAACATGTGATTCATCCTTTGATCCCTCTAAATCACAAGCATCATTTTCATCAAGAACCGAGTGTGCGACTGCTTCTTTAACCATTGGGATAAACATGTCTTTGTCCCTTATTTGTATCTTCTGAATTAAAGCATAATCCACATAATCCAAATCATGAAAAGGAGTGAATCGAATTTTGAACTTTTTAATTAATTGAATCATCTATGTAACGCCCTGAAAACCGGTCTAGGAATTTATAACTTTTTTTACTACAAAATAAATTTTAAAAAATTTGAAAAAAATATTTATAATTCAAGTGACCTTGTTTTTCTTGAAAAACAAACTATATTAAAATAATGTGGGAAATATGAAACTTAACGATATAAATTTTATTTTTTTCTAAAAATATTTGGCAACGGAAACTGTGGAAATCAGACACGTAGTACGTAACCAATGGAGCATGAAAAAACTTTTTGTTTTCCTTTCCCTTCTCAGAGCAACTCCAAGGGGTAGTCTATATTGTAAAATATACACTATATACAATTTAATGTTGTCTTTTCAATACTCCAATAGATAGGGTAAACCAAGTGGGAAAATGCAATGTAGTGTAAAAAGCAATCTCCAAAGTGCATTTTTACAAGTTCACTATAGATAGTGGAAAGAATAAAAAATTAATTTTCTTCATTTTTTTCTTCCCTCTTCTCCATTTTCATATGTACAAGGTATTTATTAAGTCTTTTTTAAAAAATCATTAAAAATAATTAGTAACTTAAAACAATAAAATATTATAAAAAATGTATTATATAGAAGATATGGTTGGAGTAAGTATAAAAAAATGGAAATGTAACACTATTGATAGTGTAAAATGAAGTTTACACTACCAATTTTTATACTACACTTGGAGATGGTCTCACGCCAAGGTCCAGCAGCTCCTTCCATTCTTGAAGTTCTTCCCATCTTTCTTATCTACTAGTATCACACCCGTGCGTTGCACGGGTCATTTTTATGTTATTAAATTCAGATCATTTTTCAATGATAAAAAATGAGATGCAATAGAATATAGAGATTATATTATTTTAAGGTACAGAAATCAATGTTTTACAAATTTCGAAATACTTCCTTATAGACTACATTATTTGTACAATTTGTGGGAGTATTGTTTTCACCGATTTAATGTTTTTTGAAAAATTTATATTCACCAAGCCAAATATTTTTATTAATAACTGAATTGAATTAAAGTATGAGTGACGTACCTATGTTTGAATCGGGGTTGATGCGCTTTGTACCAATAATTCTTGTTGACGTCTTTATTTGCCGCATCAGTAATTCGTTACTCTTTTAGTTCTTCAATATCGGCTCTCATGAATGCTTCTCTAGTTCTCTATCGAATGCTTCTGAATGTAGGTCATTAGAAACCCAGGTTTTTTTACTTATCATATACTCACTAATCACCACAAAGAATCACACATCTGGTAGAAATTTTATAGGCAGCAGATTTGATTTTTTTAAAATTGAATTCAACAACCTAATTGTCCCTTTAATATATATATATTGTCTCTTGAAAATATATGGGCATAGAATGAATCATCATTATTTAATTTCTAATTTCGTTTATGCAAGTTATGGTATGAAGAATCTGCCCAAAATTATGTTTTTATTTATCTTTTTCTGTCTATGAACACTTACCTTTTCGAGCAGACAATTTTCCTCTAATTTGTTTCGCTGCATTAATGTTCAACATCTCTACCATTAATAATTTTTTATTACCATTTTTGTATACGTGTTAAAAATATACTCCCTCCGTCCCAAAAAGTTTGTTACGTTTAGAAAATACTGCGTCCCGTAAAGTCCGTTACATTTCTATTAAAAAACCACTTTTACCCCTTACTTTTTCATACCCTACCTATCACATCATACCTTTTTTCTAATAATCTACTCATCACATCCTACTTTTTCCCATCACATCAAGGGTATTTTTGGAAAGTCAATACCAAAATATCTCTCCCTTAATTTCCCAAAAAGTCAAACCGTCCCATTCTTTTTGGGACGGAGGGAGTACATTACTCTATACGTATTTTCCTATTTTTAATTAGAATTTCAAAATACACGGTTATATTAAAGGATAACATAATAATATATGTATTTTATTAGCCTTTCTTTAGTGTGTTAATTAGATTTTTAATTATCTTTTTTTGTATACGTACTTAATACTTTATATTAAATATTCGTACTTAATACTTTATATGAATTTTATCATTCAAAATACATGTATATATTACCATTTATAAATGTAATAATTTATTAGATATTATTACATTTAAATTAGTGAATATAATTAAATACAATTACCATTTGTAGAATTTCACATAATACCAAAATAATATATACATTTTATTAGCCTTACTTTATTATGGTAATTATATTTTTAATTACCTTTGGTGATATACATACTTAATTGTTTATTTAACATGGCGTGTGTGAATACTTTATTACCAAAATACATGGTTATATTAATTTAACCGTTCAAAATAAATTTGTATATTACCATTTTTAAATGTAATAAGTTATTAGATATTATTACATATATATCAGTAAATATAATTAAATACAATTATTAGCCTTCGTATAAATTACCATTCGTATAAATTTTTTATGTAACATGGTGTGTGTGAATACTTTATTACCAAAATACATGTTCATGTTTATATTAATTTAACCGTTCAAAATAAATGTGTATATTACCATTTTTAAATGTAATCAGTTATTAGATATTATTACATATATATGAGTAAATATAATTAAGTACAATTATTACCATTCGTATAAATTTTTTATTTAACATGGCGTGTGTGAATACTTTATTACCAAAATACATGTTTATATTAATTTAACCGTTCAAAATAAATGTGTATATTACCATTTTTAAATGTAATAAGTTATTAGATATTATTACATATATATTGGTAGTTTTTGAATCTTGGTCCTTCCCAAAAATTGGAGCATGCAAGGGTGATTGGTAGTTTTTGTGCCTTGGAAATTGCGTATAACCTTGACCCTCATGATTAAGTAAACTGCATTTTCTTGCAAATCTTGTTTGAATGTGCGTATATTAGTATCTTTGATCTGAGCATGGATCCGATCGCCCTAACAACAAATATAAAACGTTAATCTATAATTAAATTTATTTTTTTGTTTAAAGATTAATTATATATAAAATATAAAACAATGTAGAACTAACATCTGAGTCGTGGAAAACAATATCCAATGATTCCGGCCCTCGAGAATGAGCTGGAACGTGGTAAACCCTAATCGCTCTTAGCTTCATCATCAATAATCCGGATTTTTCATGAACATTTTTTAAGGCGGTAATCATTCCCATGTTCGTACAAAAACGATGGTGGAGCACCGATTAATTAAAACTCTCGTTTCATGAACACTCGTTTAACTTTTCTGGCCCGGTAAGGTAGCGTATTTATACTACATGAATTTGTGAATTTCGGTGTTCCTTTTTATTACCATTTTGGTATACGTGTTAAAAATGTACATTACTCTATATTACTCTATACGTATTTTAATTTCTAATTTCGTTTATGCAAGTTATGGTATGAAGAATCTGCCCAAATTTGTTTCGCTACATTAATGTTCAACATCTCTATCATTAATAATTTTTTATTACCATTTTTTGTATATGTGTTAAAAATGTACGTACATTACTCTATACGTATTTTCCTATTTTTATTACTCTATACGTATTTTAATTTTTAATTTCGTTTATGCAAGTCATGGTATGAAGAATCTGCCCAAAATTATGTTTTTATTTATCATTTTCGTTTATATTTTAATTTCTAATTTCGTTTATGCAAGTTATGGTATGAAGAATCTGCCCAAATTTGTTTCGCTGCATTAATGTTCAACATCTCTACCATTAATAATTTTTTATTACCATTTTTGTATATGTGATAAAAATGTACATTACTCTATACGTATTTTCCTATTTTCATTACTCTATACATATTTTTATTACTCTATACGTATTTTTTATTACCATTTTTAAATGAAATAAGTTATTAGATATTATTACATATATACTACCTCCGTCCCACTCTCTTTGTCCACTTTTGACTTTTGGAACTGTTCATCTAATCACTTTGACTCATCAAATTCTCTCAATAAGCCTAAATATAGTCAAGTGTGATCTTGTTTGATTTGTCTTAACATATAGATTATTAATATATAATTTCTATAATTTTTTAATATACAAATTACAAGATAAAATGGATTAAAGAAGTGCATTGGATGGTGTGACAAAAGGTAAGTGGACAAAGAGAGTGAGACGGAGGGAGTATTAGTAAATATAATTAAATATAATTATTACCATTCGTATAAACTGATTAAAAAAGGATTGATTTATTAACGGTAAGTGTAATTATGTTTGAATTTTTTATTATTACTTACCTTTTTACAATTACAACACTCGTTTGAATATTTTATTATTACTTTAAATATTTTATTATTACGTACCTTTTTACAATTAGAACATCTACGAATTTGAGTATTTTATTATTGCTTTAAATTACTTATCATTTTAATTGTGTAATTACTTAATTACGGTAACTCCATTAATGACCCGTGTAACTCCATTTTAATTGAGTAATTGCCATATGGAGTGAATAATTACCATTTTTGGTGGAACACCAAATGGGCGGGAAAACGAAATTGAGAATCCATGGCTTTTTAAATAAAGTATGGATATGGATATGGATATGGATGATCCTAAGATGCATTAGTTTTTTTTATTTAACTTGCTTTAAATTGTTTCCTATGTTGTTTTTTACAAGCTCAATTTCATAGGCATGAGAACGACATTCAGAGGGTACAACACTGCGCTGGTCTCTCTAAAGACCAGAGGTTGCAGAGAGGACCACACTTATATTCTTCGGTCCGTCTTCCAGAATTCGGACATGTGTAAATATTAAAAAATTTATATGTGAGAACATCGTCTACGGTCTTGTTTGGGAACAACGTTTTCGATTAGCGTTAGCGTTTTGGATAAACTTTTAATGGTGTAGATTAATTCTGAAACGTTTTCGATTAGCGTTAGCGTTTTGGATAAACTTTGAATGGTGTAGATTAATTCTGAAAACGTTAACGCTAAAGGCTACCGTCGGATAGCCTTTTCAAAACACTAACGCTAATCTCTAACACTGATGTCAAACGGGCCTTACTATGCAGCTCAAGAATGTTATCATTTACTGCTTTTTTCGGGGCATGACTGGTGAATCTTTGGGAAGATCTATCTAAATTACATATCCCTTGTTGAATTTGCCAACAGGGTTTCTAACAAGCAAGTTCTTGCCATTGAAACATTCCCTAAAAATGCCTTCTTTTATTGTGTGTATTATAGTGCTATTTAAATTAGATTTTGAAAAAATATTTATAAATGGACATGTGTCTATATCTCTCTGTGTATTATGAAGTATTTTAATGTTCAATGATATTATACATCAATTGTATTACGTATAATTTATATCTTAAAATACTACCCTGTCCAGGTTCAAAAAATAACAATTCAAATTTATTATGGTCATCTTCAAATAGGATGCTAAATTACATTTCTGTGAGCAAAGCGAAATGATAAGCGTTTATATTTAATTAAAACTTTATTTTAAAATTATGAATCATTTTTTTCCCGTGCGACGCCCGGATTAGAATCTAGTCTATGTAACATGTGGAAAAATCATATGTCTATGCTTATTTGATTCTTAATGTATCTAGAAAAAATCACGATAGATGTATACTTACTTCAAAATCAGAAGAGTAGTAACTACGATTATTACATTTGTTATTGGCTACGCACAATATCACATCAATAATGAAAATTTTGTTTACTCCTTTATATAGGAAGAATTCCGTTGGGCGATAATTACTCCTGAATTTCTCGTTAGTTCTAATTCCAACGGAATGCTGAAGAGCTCAGATCGTTTTATATCATAGGGGGAAATTTCCATCTGCCGGAATATATTTCCTTAAGGACAGTGTCTAACTTGTTAGCATATGTATATATTTTGTATATTATTTCATTTGTCTTATCACAGTTTATGCAGGTACCCCATTTAGATCACTGGAATGCTGCCCTGCGTGTTCTCCGCTATATAAAGGGTCACCCTGGTCAGGGAATATTGTTACGTCGTGATGGTGATCTTACTCTTACAGCTTTTTCAGATTCTGATTGGGCAAGTTGTCCGTTGACACGCCGATCCGTGACTGGTTATTTCATCATGCTTGGTGGGTCTCCAATTTCTTGGCGCACTAAAAAGCAAACTACAGTTTCTCGGTGTTCAGCCGAAGCCGAGTATAGAGCAATGGCAAACGCATGTTCGGAGATTCGCTGGCTACGTGGGCTTCTTGCTGCTTTGGATGTACCGTGTTTAGCAACTCCGAGACTATATTGTGATAACAAATCTGCCTTGTTCATTGCTGCTAATCCAGTCTTTCATGAACGATCAAAACATATTGATATTGATTGTCACATTGTACGTGAATGCATTCAGCGTAATCACATTGTCACATCTTATGTGCCTACACGTTTTCAGACAGCTGATATCTTCACAAAAGCTTTACCGGGTCCTCTTTTTCAGTCTCTCTTATCCAAGTTGGGCATTTTTGATATTCATGCTCCAATTTGAGAGGGAGTGTTAGCATATGTATATATTTTGTATATTATTTCATTGATGGGGCTCTTCGTTTGTATCACCCAAGCTCCTCAATTGTATCACCTCTGTGTATTTATACCCATATGTATCAATGAAACAATCATCAAGTTTCACCCACATAACCTATTTCTACATGACTCGACTCGAGTTTGTTATTAATTACTTTTTGTCTAGTTTGCTGGGTTCCAACAGTTATATGTCAAGTGAATTCGAAAAAGTACTTTGCAAAATAGACAACACATACGTCTTTCTTTGAGCTGATATTCTGTTCTCTACTTATTGCAATCCTTCAAATGACTACAGTTTACCATTTTTGGATAGCTCAACTTCTTTGTCATCACTATTAGACAAGAGAAGTTCATCTTTCAGGCCAAACTCCACGACAGCTTCATCGGTAGCAATATGTTCTCCTAGAGGTTTGTACCTGTAATGCATAGCACATGTGACATAGTATGCGAAATTCAGGACCTGTATACCAGTTATGAGCCAGTAATAGTTTTCCAATCGTCCCCTATTCAGGTTTCGGTCGGGCAGCCAGTTCCCTTCCTTGCCTGTGTAGTTGTGCACTAATGACACTACAAATGTGCCCATGTAGTTTCCTACTGCAGAAGTCAGCGAATTGAGTGCTGCCGCTGTGCTTCTCATGCTTTCTGGGGATTGCTCAATCAGAAACTCAAGATGACCCACTGACATGAACACTTCGGCTATCCCATGGAGGCAGTACTGAGGAACTAACCAAAACACACTGATGGGGATGATGGCAGCTGGTTGGTCAAGCAAGCCATGACGCTCAGCGGCAGCTTTGCGCTTGATCTCGACCAGGGCTGAAGCAATGGTGGCAAGGATGTTAACTGCAAAACCTATGCCCATTCTCTGTAGGCATGTGATCCCTGAGGGGTTTCCAGTGAACCTGCGAATATAAGGCACAAAGACGCGCTCGTATAGAGCGAGCCCCACAAGGACAGTGGAGACAGTGAAGACAGACATGGTGGCGGGAGGGATTTGGAATGAGCGAGACAGGTGGCGATCCATGGTGCGTGCTTGCTGGATGGTAAAGCTTCCAACATGTGAATAGCTGGTGATGAGTAATATGCCAGCGGCCCAAACAGGTAGCATCCTGAGGATGCATTTAAGTTCCTCCACCCTATGCACAGTTGCAAGCCTCCACAAGTTTGGTTTGTTTGGTTCTCTCATGTCAGAATCGTCGACTATGGCCGCACGGTCAATACCCCTTGAAACATCAACACCAGGAATTTATTACAAACAAATCAATGACCCAAAGACATCACCTTAAAAAATTTATGATGTACTTTGTTAAGACTTAATGAAATGCAATTTGATGCTCTCTTTGTCCCGNGATGTATGCAACCTTACCTCCATCATAAAAAAGAAATTTAATGTATGCAACCTTAAAAACAAAGTTACATCCTTGATGCATTGCTGAACGCCTAGCCAAAACATCATAGAAAGTAAAAAAGCAAAAGACATATAACGTGCCATTGACGCTAAGACATCAATGAATGCGCAATAAAAGTTTCTTAGTTTCCTTTTACCGTTTGCATGATTGCGTCTCATAGATACCCACATAAACAAAGTATATTCATGGTAGATTCAAACTTTAAGAAGGAAGTTTACCTGAACTGATCAGTATGTAGAAGCCTCCCATTACAAGAGATTACAGCATCAAGTTGTTGATTCTCGTACAGGAGAGCAGAATCAGAAGGCATGACAGCATTTCTCTTCCTAACACATGCGGCAATTACTTGTGCTAATCTAACCAATGGACTACCTCCTGGTTTTACTTTTCTATAAAGAGGGGACCCTAAAATAAAAGCAACAACTGATAGTCCCATAGTAATGGTAGGAAGTCCCAGACCCCAAGCCCAACTTACATTATCTTGGATATAAACTATGACGGTAAGCGCAGTTAGAGTGGCCATTCCCATGCAGAAATAGTACCAGTTGTAGAAGTTCCATTTACGGCCCTCAACTTTTGTCCTTGTCATGTCAATTTGATCAGCGGCAAAGGTAATAACACAAGGCCGAATCCCTCCAGCACCAATAGATGTCAGGAGTAGACAAACATAGAGCGCCCAAAGTTGATGGCTTGAAGCCTCCTTGCAGTCTTTTTGAGTGGGGCATGGCGGAGGACGAAGTTGTGGCAATATTGCTGAAACGGTGATGCTTATCATTCCCTGTAACATATGTTTTTAATTTTAAAAAAACAGAGCATGCATATCTTGGAATAACTTTTTTTTTAACTCATTCTATGTCTATCTATAATCCATGAGAGAGAAAGAGATACCAACTCATATATGATAGATCCAACAATGATAGTAAAGAATCGTCCAGCAAAAGAATCTGCAATAAGAGCACCAACAAGGGGCATGAAGCTGGAGGTTCCACCAAAGTTGGTGAGAGTATTGGATGCCTTCACAAGAGGCAAATTCAGCACCTGTGTCAGGTACGTTATCATGTTGGCATGAAAACCAACTCCCGCAATTCTGTCGCATATTTCATTCGCTGTCAAAACACAAAATGTGGATTGCATTAGTTTATAGAGCTAATTCTACACAGAAAAGTTGTTCTACAATGACTGGTTTAAATTGCTTGATGTCTATAAAAAGAGGATCATCTAGCTCAAATTGCATCTTTCTTTACCAAGGATCTAATTTCATTATTTGCAAAAGTGGATAATGAGTCAATCACAATTCACAATAAGTCAAAAAACATAACAAAAGAGATTCAATTAGAAGATGATATTTGTATTAAATTTATCTTAAAAGTAATGACAAATAAAGAAACTCTGGTATTTTACCAAACATACTACATGTAAGTAAAACAAGAAATGTACAATTTCATTCTCATTGCCTCTCCATTCCACCCTCCAAGAATAAAAGCAAGGATTAATCTCCAAGAATCAACGATTTCATTCTCATTTCTTCTGCTCTCTATCATTCCAATGATGTGTTTTTCTTCTCCTCCCTATCATCGCAATAATGTGTTTTTCTTCAGTGTTTAGTGCGTTGGTCAACATTATTGGCGGGAATTTAAACCGATCACATGCTCCTATTTCGGCCGCGTTGTCTCTTTTGAAATGGTCAAATACTTTCATTGTCCTCTAATCCATTATAATTATATGGGCCTAAGTCATATGAACTCTTTACCATTAAAATTAGAATTTGAAATAGAATTAGAATAAGAATTAGGAGATTACGATTAGAATTAGGATTAAGATTAGGGATTAGGATTAGGGTTATGATTGGGATTAGAATTAGAGAATAAGGATTAGGCAATTATGATTAAAATTAGGATTAGAGGATTAGAATTAGATTAGGAGATTAGGATTAGGATTAAGGAGTTTGATAGAATTTGCGATGGGGCAAGAGTAACTAGATTGGGCATTAAGACACTTGGGTAGAACCGCATTAAAAGATTGAATCCAATCGATTACTTAGTTCAATTCAAGACCTTATATACCGATAACTTTTCTATTCAACTTCCGATGTGGGATAGACTTTAACACTCCCCCTCCAGTGGACAACCGGGCCATTTTGAATCTAACCAATTGACCACTTGCAAATGAACTATCATTCCCTTGACTTTTTTAGCACCAACACCTAAAGGACCACGAGTCGCTGGGTATGGATTTCCAGACGAGCAATCGTGTTAAACGGGCCACAGGCCGTTGGGTACATTCTCCATACGGACAACTGGGCTAAAGACTAACGAGCTGCTAGGAATGAACGTCTAGACGGACACCTTGACAAACGAGGTGAGCCAAAACCTGCTCCGATACCATGATAGAATTTACGATGGGGCAAGAGTAACTGGATTGAGCATTAAGACACTTGGGTTGAACCGCATTAAAAGATTGAATCCAATTGATTACTTAGTTCAACTCAAGACCTTATATACCGATAACTTTTCTATTCAACTTTCGATGTGAGATAGACACTAACAGAGTGGGAATTAAGGGATTAGGATTAGAATTAGGGTTAAGATTAGGATTAGAAATAAGGATAATATAAGAGGATTAAAATTAGGCGATTAGGATAAGGATTAAGATTGCAATTAGTATTAGGATTATGATTAGGATTAAGATTAGGAGATTAGGATTAGAGAGTTAGGATTAGGATCATGATTAGAATTAAGATTAGGATTAGAATTAGAATTATGAGATTAGGATTAGAATTAGGATTAATCTTAAAATTAGGATTAATAATAGGCTCCGTTTGGAAATAAGGAAACGGGCTTGTGGAAAACGACTTTTGGAAAATGATGAGTTATTGTCCAGAAGTCATTTTCTTTTCAGTTATTTGGTTAAAAACCTGAAAAAGATCTATTTATGTTTGATTTATTTTCCGGAAAATGGATATTTTAAAATAAGTGTCCAACAAATGACTAAAATAACATTATAAGAATATTAATAAATTTATAAAAAATTATAAATTATAAAAAAAAATCCATATAGTAAAACATTCTTTAAAAAAACAAAAAAACATACATATATTTGAATGAAAACCCAGATCTAAAAGTAAAAAATAGAATCTGAGAGAAACAAAGAAACCAGAAACCCAGATCTTGAATCCAAAATCACCGATCGTTTTTTTTCTTGAAAAATTAAGAAAATTTTAAGAAAATTACATTACCATCGAAATAATGATTGCGATGGAGGCTTGGAGATGAAGATGCATGAAGGAAAGAAGAAGTAGAAGAAGAAAGAGGGGGAGGAGGGGGCTGCGAGGAAGAGAGGCAGAAGAAAGAATAGCAGGTCGGAAAGAAGAAACGGAAATTGTCTTCCGGAATTTTTTAGCTTTCCAGGTGACCAAGATTGAGATTTTAATCAAAAAATTAGGATTAGAAGATCACCATTAGGATTAAGATTAAGGATTTTGATTCAGTTGAACGCAATCTAAGACTCACTAAGATGAATAGATTTGATTCTATCCCTAGTCATATTTGGGTCAAATACCACTGATACCCCTCGTGGTTTGCAAAACATGCAGCAATACTACTGTTTTCAAAAATCATTTCTAAAGTTTTTGTGGTTTTAAAAAGCTGCACCAATGCCCCCTATGATCAACTTCCGGCCATTTTTCTAGCGAATAAAGGGGGCATCGGTGCATATTTTTTAAACCATAAGATTATCAGTGCTGATTTTTATTTCTCGCAAAGTTTTTTTTCCATTTCTCCATTTTTTGTTTCATTTATTAATAAAAAAATTTAAAATTATTTTTATAATGTTCTAAAAATTTAAATTATATTTATTAGAAAAAATTAACATATAATGTATATAAACGTCTCAAATTAACAATTTTTTGTTTTTTATGAAAAAAAAAGTAATTTTTTTAGGACTTCAAAAAAATGAGGAATAAAATAAGAAACAAAATAATACAAAAATAAAAATGAATGTCCTTTTTGAACATCTCAATTCTAAGGACTTTTTTAGACGTGTCCATATTTTTTTGTGCAAGTCTTTTTTTGCGTATTTTAATTTTTTCCTTTCGATTTTCCATATTTTATTTTTTTATATATTAGAATAATCATTCATGTTTTAATTTAATAATATTTTTATTTTATGATTATTGTTTTTGAAATAAGAATATTGATTTAATATTTTAATAATCAGTTCATACATAGATTAGAATAAATATTTAATTTATATAAAATCAATACAGAGAAAAGATAGTATTTTTATTAAAATATCTCATCTTTATAAAAGATTAAAACTTTAGAAACTCAAATTACAGGTAGCAATAAAAATTTATTTTAAAAGTAGAATTAGATTGACATTGTCAATGTATTTTAAAAATAATTTTTTCGACGTCTAATAATTAGGGATTAATTTCTCAGTTTTCTATTTAACTTGTTTTTAAAGTTTATTCTTTTTCATTTTTAAGAAGAAGAAGAAGAAGAAGAATAATAATAATAATAATAATAATAATAATAATAATAATAATAATAATAATAATATTAATCATAATAATAATAATAACAACAACAACAATAATAATAATAATAATTCTTTATGGGATCTGATTTGGTCTGATCTGATTGGATCTGATCTGATTAGATCTGGTCTGATCTGATCTGCTCTGATCTGATTTGTTCTGATCTGATCTGATCTGATTCGATCTGATCTGACCTGGCCTAATCTGATTTTAATAAGAATAAGAAAAAATAAGAAAAATAAGTTGAATGGAACCGGGCCTTAGTTTTTGAAACACCTTGCATAAAGATAAGTTATATTTCAACTTGTGCTCGGCGAACACATTTCTTTTAATGAAAACAAAGCTTTATTTTTGAGCGAGACTCCAACAAATTAGAGCCAATGTCATATGATGGCATGGGCTCCCAATGTCAAAAATAAAATCAGCTCAATTTTTAATTAAGTTTAATAAAAAATAACTCTAATCAAATATTATAAATAATAAAATGTAACTTAAAAGGTCACGAATTAGTTTCATGTCGAATGGAGAAGTTAGAGACTTCAAGTTGGACTAGGGTCATGACATGACACTACTCCCTAAAACTTCATATCAAAATAGAAAAATGTTAAGACTACACCAAAAGATGTACACGCGCGTCTTTCCATCACATAATTTTAAGTTAGATAAGAAGATCGAAGAACTAATAAGCAATGTCTCCTTAAAGAGTGGTGGTGTATAAATAAAGTTTACTTTTGGTGTCCCTACACTACCCCATCAAAATAATCGGACCGTCTTTATCCACCCGTTCCTGTTATTCTTTCTCTTGTAATCTACTTTAAAACTCTTCAAAACAACTTCTACCTGCAATAATCTACATGGAATGTGTCTTAGACATTTTGGGTGGAAGTAAAAATATTTTATGAGGTGTGTAAAAAATTACGGCAGAAATATTTTTCCAAACGGAGGGAGTATCACCCAACACTCCATGACACGGCTCCACCTCCATCCTCTCCGCCACACCCATAGGCCATACTATACTCCCCTACCGTGCACCCAATTTATCTTAATCAATTGTTCATCTTCAAAATTATTAAAAGTAAATGAAAACATATCTAAAAAATTATGGAGTGTACTTTAAACCAAGAATAATGCTTCCATGGTTTCAAAGTCTATATTTAAAATATGAACATTTTCACATTTTTCATAGACTTACATCTATATACTTTCTTTTTACCAAAAGTCTTCTTCTTTTATGGTACAAATACATGCACTAAGATCCATAAAATTAAACACCTCAAGAACAAACTTATTCAAACAACGCATTAGAAAAATAAATGTGTGTCCTCTAGTAAGAAAGCTATAACTACCATCAATGATTATAAAATGAACCATTTTATTTTACTACTCTCTCAAACCTAAGTGTGGGAACGAGCAGAATGGGCGTTCTAGCTACTCCCTATAAGCTAGTTGAAAGATGCTCTAAAAAAAGAATGAGCTAGTGAAAAAATTATTTGGAAGGAAATTCTCTTGTATTTCTCTCTTGTGTTTACAATTTACAATGAAGACATATATACACACATACACAGATATATATATATATATATATATATATATATATATATATATATATATATATATATAATCTCACAAGTTGAGACTCCTAATTGGTAAAGGAAAAGGAAAGAATAAACCATATACAAGAAAAACTACCAAAACAATATATACACAAATATATCTAAATATTCTCCGAATATTCTCTTTCTTTTAACACCTCCCTCAAGTTGGAGCATGTAACAGAGAAATGCCCACCTTGGAAATAAAAAAACTCCAGTCGTGACTTCCCTAGTGCCTTCGTGTGAATATCTGCAAGTTGATGCATAGTAGGGACATAAATGGCACGAATCTCTTCTCGTACAAGCTCACCACGAACAAATTGACAATCGATCACAATGTGCTTCGTGCGTGCGTGAAAAAACGGATTAGCTGCAATGTGAAGAGCCATTGTTCTGTCACAGCAGACGGCCATAGGGTTCTTATGCTCAACCCCTAAGCACTTTAATAAGTTCTTCAACCATTTCAACTCACAAGTAAGGACATCAAGAGCCCTATACTCTGCATCAGCAGACGAGCGAGCCACCGTTGTTTGTTTTTTAGTTTTCCAAGACACAGGGTATTTCCAAGTTGCACAAACCAGCCTGTCAATGACCGCCTCGTCAAAGGGCATGCTACCTAGTCCGAATTACACCATCCTGTAAGATGAAGACTACTCACTGCTGATAGAAAAATGTCCTGACCCGGGCATCTTTTCAAATAACGAACAACCCCAAGAGCTGCAGACCATTGATCCTCCCTGGGTGACTTCAAGAACTGTGCTAACGTATGGACTGCATAAGAAAGCTCTGGTCGTGTAACATATAAATAGAATAATCGCCTACCAGACGGCGATATGGCTCTGGATCCGTCTGAACAGGAGCTTGGGAATGAGCCAAGTGATGATTCGGCTCCATGGGTCCACCCAACAGCCTAGAACCTAACAATCTGCCTCAGTAATAATATCCAAAGCGTACTTTCGTTGGCAGAGAAATATCCTAGACGTGCTCCTCGCCACTTCAATGCCAAGAAAATATTTCAGATAGGCTTTGAACTTGCTCACCATCTCAATATTATCTCCAACAATAAACAAATCATTAACATAAACCAAAACATGTATTACTCCTTTCTTTCCAACAAAAGAAAATAGGGAGTAATCGGAAATAGACTGCACAAAGCCATATCGTCTCAATGCCCTAGACAGTTTTGCAAACCAACATCTTGGAGCTTGTTTCAAGCCATACAGAGACTTCTTGAGTTTGCACACCGCATTAGACGAATTCGAGAAACCAGGTGGCAATCTCATATACACCTCATCCTGAAGATCTTCATGTAGGAATGCATTGTGAACATCCATCTGATACAATCCCTACCCCTTAATTACTACAACTGCTAAAAGTGTTCTCACAGTGGTCAACTTGACTACAGGAGCAAATGTTTCTTTGTAGTCAAGTCCTTCAACCTGATGATTGCCAAGTTTCTTTGTAGTCAAGTCCTAAAAGTGTTCTCACAGGTGTCCTAGATGTTTGTGCCAAAGATCAAAGGAATTCACCTTCTTAGAACTGCACGCCATGCTTCTTTCCTCCTTCTTCAAATAGTACAATTCTACTTCATGTCTCCCCACACCAAACGTTGTCCTCAAATTTATGTTCTGTAATATGCACACATCATTGGTTAACTTTCCCTCACAGTTCAAATCCCTCGTCAGCTGTGAGACAAAGATCAAATGGCACTTCAAAGTTAGAACAAACAACACCAACTGCAATGTCAAAGTCCTTGTTAGGGGTGGGCACGAATCGGCACGGTCCGGATTTTAGGTTGTTCCACGTCTTGTCCCGTTATATATAAACGGTCCGGAATGGTTCGGATTATAATCTTATCCCGGTTGGTCCCATAAAATTCGGGATCAGAACAAATCGGGACAGATTCGGGTCATCCTACTTTGTCCTAATCCAAAATATAAAAAGGGGGGGTACTCAATCCAAAAGTCACAAAATGTCATAAATAAAAGTCATTAACTCCCAAAGACATCCAAAAACTAGTTGTGTACACCAAGCAATTAGCCACTGTGAACTGGAAACAGAAACTTCTAAAAAAATAAAATTCTATAAATTAGTGTTTAACTAGACATTTCGGTCATTTCCCATGTAAAGAAATGAACAAAAATATTGGGTAGAACAAAAACCAAGCAGTAGAATTGGGTTGAAACTTGAAGTTAACAAAAATATTGAATTAGGTTAATAATGGGATGAAATTGGGCTTTGGAGTCTGGACTTTGGACCAAATAAATTTAATAAATTTTGGGTTGAAATTTGAAGTTAACTTAATTAATTAAAGAATGAGTGTATTTGGATTTTGGACTAGAATTAGAATTATATATTAATAGAGTAGATAAAACGGGACGGATCGGTATAAATTTACGTTGTCCCGCTCATGTCCCATTTGATAACGGGACGGAACGGGTTCGGGATAAAAAAATTGTGTCCCAATTAATCGGTACAATTACAAAACGGGTTTGGGATTTTTCAGAACGGTCCAACGGGAACGGATTTCACGCCCACCCTTAGTACTTGTCAAACCAACCTTTCCAGATTGAATAGACACTACATGTTTTCCATCGGGTAACCCAATTTCACATGGAGTCACGCCCACCACATCATACAATAACGACAGATCACTTGTCATATGATTTAATGCACCCGTATCAATAATCCAACATGGTGACACAGAAATACTTGTAAGTTTCTGATTGATGTCTGTAGGGGATAGTGCAAGGGCGTGACGAACAGCGTTCCACTGCTCCATAGTCAGATCCTCGAATTTGGGCAACAATGAAAATCCCTTTTTCTCTTCTTCCTCATTTTTCTTGTTGAAAATAATGTTCATGGATGCCTCTACAGACATACCGGATGACACGGGCAAATAATGGATCGAACAGCTGCAACAACTGAAGAAACTGTCGTCGGGACGGTCGATGCCTTCGACCATTCTTATTTCGACGATCGACCGTTCTGGTCTTTTGGCAGAAACACCAAGTGACGATCGATGGACGCGATGCCGGGCGATCGTGCACAGTAGCTGCAGAAATCCTCTACGATTTTGGCTCTGATACCATGAAAGAATTATTTGGGAGGAAATTCTCTTGTATTTCTCTCTTGTGTTTATAATTTACAATGAAGACATATATATAAAATCTCACAAGTTGAGACTCCTAATTAGTAAAGGAAAAGGAAAAGGAAAGAATAAACCTTATACAAGGAAAACTACCAAAACAATATATACACAAATATATCCAAATATTCTCTTTCCTTTAACAGCTACACTAGGGCCCCATCAAATCCGATTAGGTGGTCACCGAGAGGAGGTAAATTGGACATTTATCGTAGATTGGTGACAAAGAGTAGAGCTTCTTACTTGCAGAGGTCTTATGCTTAGAATAGTTACCTCCCTAGATAGTTGCTAGAAATAAAACTCGGGTCATAACCACTTGACACTCTTGCCAACGCGCAACGCCCACCGGCAGCAGAAAGACGCTCTAAATTCAATTAGCCCAGGTCGATCTATCTCCGCTTAATTGAGCCTAGCTACCACCTTGTACTTATTTTCTGAGTTTTTTTCAATTTAATTTTAAGAATAAAACAAATGATATGAACTAAAGATCTCTAATTAATTAAAAAGAACATTAGAATAAAATAAAGGTAAGAATTTTTACTTGTTGGGTGACAAGAAATTAAGTGCCACTAGGTACTACGGAATGTAAAACGAACAAGAGGGGTAGTGGGATTGAAGGGTGTATGTAAATTAAATTGAATTTAATTACCAAGAATGAATGGCATAGTTCTAATGCCCCCGAGCTTCTTCTTTCTTTCATTTTTAGCCTTTGCCTCGTCTTTCTTCTCATCCGCTTCTCCTTCTCCCTCTGAAGCTTTCTTCATCTCCATTATCATCTTCATTTCTGCATCCATATATGCATATATATATATATATATATATATATATATATATATATATATATATATATATATATATTGCTAGGTGTTATTTTGGGCTGAGAGAGTACAGATACGATATATATTATATTAGCAGTACAGTTAAATAAATATGAGAGCAGGCGCAGGCAATTAATTCAAGAAGCTAAGCTACGTACTGAAATTAAAGCCTTCTGAACTCTCTAGCTACTCAAAACTTAAAAAGAGTGGCGGTGGGGATTTGTTTATATATACTCGACCAAATTATTATTATCGATCATCATCATTATTGCTCAATTTCATCCATTTATATGTATTAATTAAGCTAGGGACTTGCATTGGTGGAGCCAATAATTGTATTCAATGGGCCGAAATTGCACAATCCATTAAGATAATGATTAATAGTAGGACATTCTAAATGATTCTATCCTACAAAATTATTCTAGTATTGATTTTTAAAGGAATTAAGAGAAGTGTATTTTGGTCTGAGTTTTTCAAAAATACATTTAGATATGATTGATAAAAATAAAGCAATGCTAGATTCACACGCAGAATGGTCACAAACTCCTCAAACTTACTATTTATATTTTAAATTTTTTTAGATAGTTTATTAGTTTTTTATTGAAATTCACAAATAATAAATTTGTGAAGTTTGTGACTATTGTGTTTGTGAATCAAGCATTTCTCATAAAAATATGATGTGATGGTAGATTAATAATGAAAAAGTATGATGTCATATGTAGGTTAAAAATTAATAGAGATAAAAGTAACTTTTTAATAAAAATGAGAAAGATTTTTTGAAACACATGAAAAAAAGAAATGAGAAAGTAGTACATTACTCTTTCAATGTGCACTACATCTTCACAAATGTATTTTTTATTTATCCATGAAAGTCTGTTTCATTACTTACATTATTTATTACAACTCATCTACCTTATTTAATGTACTCCACCACTCTCATTAGGAATATTTTAGAAAACTTCCACTTTTTTCAACTCTCTTTAAAGACAACAAAAGGTTAAATAGAGAAGAATTGTGACCGAAGTAGTATTACCTAATATGACATTCAAGAATTTTAAAAAAATACTTAAAATGAAAAAAATATAAATACAATATATCGAGTAATTTGTTTCGATAAATGAAAAAAAATCTTGTGATGCTCATATTTATAAGAGAGAACTCCCTAAATAGGAGTAAAAAACTATAAAAATATAAAACTAGGAGTTCACATTGTTGTTGTTACGTTTTCACACTAATCACATCGTCACATTGTCATTCGTTACCGCCGGCCACCAGAGTGCCGTCGCGGATCACCGATGATTGATTCATCACACTGATATTTTACACTGTCATCACTTTTTCATCACACTGTCAACACATACTCTTACACTATATTGTCATTATACTCCTATTTTGCTCTTAAAAGATTGAGTACTCCTATATTCGTATTTTCATACTTTTTTACCCCTATGGGTGATTTCTTTATTTATAATGGAGTGCTATAAAGTATAAACACAAATTAAAAGAAAAATGTTTTTTTGAGATGATCGACCAAAAAATAAGAGTAGATAAAAGTTCATATGGTAAATTTCACCGGCAAAAGTGCTAAAGCCACAAACTTTCATTTAACAAATTTCACATACTCGTCTTTTGTAAGTTTTAAATTAAAATATATGTTACTATTTAAGTGCGTCTCATTTCTATTTAAATATTAAAAAACAACTTTGTGAATTTCATGAATTGTTTGTTTGTGATTTAGCATAACTTTTCACTACTACTAAGGTTTTTTCATTGAGTAAAGCTAGGGTACACCAATTGCCATATTTTAAGTGAATTGCGTCATTGTTAGAAAGATAAGAGATTTGTGAAATCAAGTTCGCCCATTGTATAGATTGACAGACTCTGTTAAGTTTGACGCTGGATAGTGAAATCTTGAACGCGTTTAATTTGTTCGTGGATTCGATGTAGGCATTAGAGTACCGAACCAATATATGTCGTGTATTTCCAAATTTTTTTCATTCTCTAGCTTCTTCACCTAAGTAGAAGAACCCCCTAACCTTGGATTTTTTTTTAAACAACTACATGGTTGATGGGTCTCCCAAACATAAATATAGTACTTGGAACAACCTTCTTTTTACCCTTCAAGTTGATCTAAGACTTTCTAAGGAAGCCAGCATACAACCTACCTCTCCTCAAATACACACCATACATTAGAATCATAGCCAAATGCTCGGTAATGTTTAAGTTACCCATCAATTTATAAAATCTTTAATGAGTTCCACTAAACAAAGGAAAAAACAAACCACAAACCATTGTATAAATATTAGAACACACTTTTTTAGTAATTTCACGTTTAATGAATTTTCAATTGAATCATTATTTCAAAGCAATATAAAAAGAACTCGGCCAACACACACTTCATGATCCATTGACGACACTGTCACATAAAATGGATGGGAGTGAATGATTGAAGGTAATCAACGTGGTTGATCCACAAGAAAGAGTGCAATAAAAGGAAAATTCCTTTTATATACTTTCCCCATACAAAAAAATATTTATGACATAAATAAAATTTAAGAAAAGTGAAATTATCTTGTTAAAAATATTGTAGAAAAGAGGAAAAATGGTGGGCCACAAAAGAAATAAAAAACGATAAGAAGAACTTTCTGTGAGATGTTACAACAAGAAAAAAAAAGAAATCACCCTACGTAGCACTTTAACTCATCTAATACTACGCATTTAGCACTGCTTATTGTTTTTTTACCAAATTAGCTATTTATATTGTCAATCTCTTCCAATCATACCCTTTAACAACAATCATACCCTTCCAATCATATCAGAATACTAATAACTATAACAAAACGCCAATAGTAATGATAAATATAACAACAACAATAATAATGATAGAGTTTAAAAATGAATAATAAAATACGAAGTACTCTATACACGGTAAGATGAAGTAGACAAATACTTCATAATTATTTGAGATACGTACTCCGTATATAGCGTTGGATAGTTCGGTCCGTGATAATCGGTTTTAAATATTTGTATCACGGTCCCGTCCCATTTGGTATTGGTTCGGTTTCGGTTCATGATGAAAAAAATCAACTCTAATAATAATAATAATAATTTATAAAAATAAGGGAGAAAAACCAAAATAGCACTCTAAGAGCAAATGTTCATTATTCACTGCCAAAAAATATGATTATTTTGGGCAGTGTGGTTGTTCACTCGTAATTGTGTAGTGGGCAGTGTGGTTTATTATATGTGAGTTTTTAATGTGGCAGTGTAGAATAGATATATGTTGTTATATCTTACGGCAGCGTGTAAATGTATTATTGTGTTCCTTAATTTCATGTTGTAGTGTAATGTCCATTGATTTATGTGGCAGTGATTTCACATATTAATTCTACACTGTCAAAAAATGTATGACTATTTTCATGTATGAATTTCACATTGCCCAAAAAAAGTATAGCTCTTTTTATGTCCACACTATTTTCATGTATGAATTCCACACTGCCAAAAATGTATATGATTGTTTTCATTTATGAATTCCACACTGTCCAAAAATCTATGACCGATTTCATGAATAATCTATTACACCAAAACACACTGGCCAAACATGGGCTTGGCTTTTTTTGGTCTTTCTTGATTTTGTATAATGTTAGAAGATGTAAGTTTTAGACATATGCTGAATTTCATTTATGTGGTAGTGAAAAAAAATGGATAATGAAGGTATTATGTTGTAAATTTTAAGACTTTGTAAGCAGCATACACTGCAACATTATGTAAAATTGTGCAACATAGCACACTGGCCAAAACATAGGACACAACACACTATCAAAAAGTATACCTAGATCACAAGCATTCCACACTGCCAAAAATCTTTGAGCTTACACTTCATACTTTGTTTATTAAAGTTATTCAAGCACTAATCATTTTGGTGATTTTTTGTGTCCGCTTCCAATGGAACTCAATGAATAATTTATTACATTGGGATTTTTAGATATAAATCCCATTCGACCAAAACACACTAGGCAAACATGGTCATAGGACGTTTCCAAAAAGTATAGCTAGAAGTTGATTATTCCACACTGTCAAAAAAATATCAGCCCCTATTCCGTAACATGTTTCCATAACGAACTCTTGAATGTTCAAACCCAATAGTCATAGAACGAAGCACATGGCTTTTGCACAATATGAAATTCAATTCATAATTCATAACATTGGCAGTTTTATATGTATGTCTAATTTCACTGTCATATTATTAATGGAAGTTAATAAAGTACATACAAATTTTATACACTACCATACTTTCACTCTTGTCTGCCACATTATATATAGAAGACATATTCACTGCCAAAAAGTGTTTGCATAACATGATTAATCTGTACTGCCCATATATTTATAGTCACCATATTGAGTAACACATTTCATAATAATTTCTTTCATGGTAAAACTCTATGGTCATAAATTCAACCACAAGCTGTTTGCACAATATGAAAGTCAAATAATAATTTATAACATTGGTAGTTTTATATGTAAGTCACATTGTCACCACTTGTTTATAAAAAAATTTATGTAGTTTTTTTAATATATAATTCCTATTTTTTAATTATACAATAATTTTTACTTATATTGATTTGAAAATAACTTCAATTAAACATCGTAAATCGAATAAGAGCCCTATTTTGGGATGAAAGAAGTATTTATAATTGGCATATTTTTATGATATAATTTTGATATATCGTATTTTTATTATATATATTTATTCAAAACTACATTTAATTGATTAACGAAAGAATTTGATAAAAAAGAGTACTATGCCACTATGCACAAAGTATACATTATGTGAGTCCGAATTTGATATAGGAGCTGAAAGAGGAATTGAAATAATTGATGGTGGGATGGATAAAAGGGATTGACAACATAAAGGGTATGATTGGAAAAGATTGACAATATAAATAGCTAATTTGGTAAAAAACAATAAGCAGTGCTAAATGCGTAGTATTAGATGAGTTAGAGTGCTACGTAGGGTGATTTCTTTTATATGAATTGGGAAAAAAATTATTTTTTAACTTTGGACTCGTTATCTTTTATTTTTTATGTTCATGATCCATTTAAATTTGAAATCATCACTTTTATTTAACATTCTTGTGCTTTTTTATACAAAATTTATAGATTAAATTCAATACTCTTTAAGTAATGTACGTTCATTTTTTATGGCACGGTTTGAGCATGAGTATGGTATTGTACCGTTCCATTACAAAATGGAATGGTACCGAATGGTTTTGGAGTTCATCCCGTACCGATACCGAACCATTTAAATAATAGCGGTCCGTGATAGGTTCAGGTAGTATCACGGACGGACCGCACACACCCACAAAAACACTGAAAGAAAAAACACTAAAAAACAAGCATTAAAAGTCGTATATGCACACGAAATAACGCGCATAAATGAATTTTATTTGTGAAATTGGCTAGGCGTCGATACTACAATGATGCACGAAAGAAACCGCTATCCAATCGCAGAATAGACTGTCCAACGCAAACCCACACACCACTGCTAATTTCATTACACAAAACATGGGTCAAAAAAGTGACCCTAAAGCCAACAAAATTTGGTATAATAAAATTGGCACCGGTGCAAGGTGAGATAGGGAAGTTTATTGGAGGATTAGGAGGGTAAAAATAAATAATTTTACGATCGAAGCACCTAAGTCTTCCAATTAAATTGTGTAACAATTTTACATCATTTGGTGTAAGATCATACACAAATTTACCCCTCTTCAAAAAATTATACTCCCCACTCTCATGGGTCACAGTTTTTAAATTCATTCCATCCCCGCACGTAATTTTATACAATAAAAAATACCACTATGTACTACTCCAGGAGTATTACAATGTACTGCATATGTGACATTTCACCTCATTTTTTCTATTATATATTGACATTATTGATGCTATAGATTCAATTTTGGAAATAAAACCAGAAGATTTTATTTTGATTCTTTTTCTATATTTTATTCTCATTTTAATTTTTTCACCCTTAAATCTAGTATATAAATAGAAATCACCTTAAATAGGATTAAAACATAGAAAAAAAATACTAAAATAGGAATTTCATATTTTTATTTTCGAAATAAGACTTCACACTATAGTAATGTGGTTGTAAGGTGACATTGTACATGTACATATTATTATACTTTTTGGTAATGTACATGACATAGTTTTGCAATATAAATATATTTTAGCTCTTATTTCGAAAATAAAAACATGAAAGTTATATTTTAATATATTTTCAATGTTTTACTTCTACTTTAATCCTTTTCTCATATACAAATGCATACCATCTATGATCTATTACACTCGATGTATTGAAAATAAAACTCCCTCAATTGACATTTTAATTCACACTATTTGTTGTGCAAAAAGTAAACTCAATTAGTTGAGTACATCAACTTTGAAAATTACACACCAAGGTCGTATTGTGTAAATTAGAGATGATAGTTGAACCATGCTACACTTACACCAAAAAATATACCCCATTTGTACACCACAGTTTTACACAAACATTTCGATGGTTTACACCGACACAAGTGTTGGTGCGTTAATAAAAATTCACACGGACACAAATGTTGGTGCGTTTAACAAAAATTAATTTTACACCAACACAAAGTGTTGGTGCAAAACTGTGGGGTACAAATTGGGGTACAAACCTTGGTGTACACATAGCATAATCCATGATAGTTAGGTGAATGAAGTTTGAAATAGATTTAGCTCCTTTAAATTCTAGAACACGTCAAAGTATGTTTACTTTAATTTACTACGGAGTATAACCTTCTTCTATTATTTTTTTATATTTTAAGAAAAATTATCCAAAATAATGTCAACTTTACCCAATATTTCAAAAAATAATCTCATCATTCCTTGTAATCAATTATAATCCCAACTTTACTGAAATTTGCGACTTTTGGGTCGCCGTTAAATTGCCGAATGTGAATTTATGGAAACGACTAGTTTTGCGCAACAAAATGAAAGTTAAGATTATTTTTGGTGAATTTTTGTTTTTTTTTAATTTTTTTAAATTTTCATTTAAAATTTTAAACTTACTCTCTACCTCCATTTCTTTTTCTTTTTTAAGGATTAGTCTTACTTTAAAAAAATAAAAATAATAGATATAAAAAATAACGAAAATGAGAAAATCACTAAAACAATGCAAAATTAATGAATAAATAAGGTAATCAATAGAAACTAATTTGAAACTAGCACGACATAAAAAATAACGAAAATGAGAAAATCACTTAAACAATACAAAATTAATGAATAAATTAGGTAATTAATAGAAACTAATTGAAACTAGTACGAAATAAAATAAATATATATGGAGTGGTGGGTTTTAATATTTTAAACATTATACATAGTCTTAAACTCTTAATGTACGGAGTACTAATTATTTTTTGAAAGAATAGGCCGGCCGCTAGAAGTTGGAAATATTCTAGATATTTTTTCTAAAAATATAAGAAGAAGCGGTACATTAATACTTGTATAGTGCATAGAATGTTAAAACCCACTACTTTGAATATTTTTATTTAAATTCTTATCAGTTTCATTAATTTTGCATTGTTTTAGTTTTTTATTTTATTTTTTATATCTATTATTTTTGATTTTTTTGAAAAAGTAAGACTAATCTTTAAAAAATAAAAAAGAAATGATGGAGGTAGAAAGTAATTTAAAAAATTTAAATAAAAAATTTCAAAAAACTTAAATAACAAAAATCCATTAAAAATAATCCCAATTTTCATTTTTTGCGCAAAACAGATGTCTCCGTTAACCGCCGTTAGCAACTTAACAGTGACCCAAAACTTGCAAATTTCAGTTAAGTTGGGATTATTATGCATCACTATGAAAGGTGATACTCCGTATTATTTTTGAAAGACCAAGTAAAGTTAAGATTATTCTGAATAGTTTTTCCTAAATTTTAATAAAATGTTTCCAATTTGTCAAAGTAAGGTACTTTCAATTCAATCGCCTAAATAGACGGAATATACCATCACAGTATAATATAACAAATTTTAAGAACCTCGGAGTATATTTCGAATGATTTAAGACCTTAGAATTCTTACCAGAAATCGAGTGCCTCGCAGAGTATATTTCAAATACTGTGAAACTAACCTAAGAATTCTTATCAGAAAATCGAGGATACCCCAGAATAATTCTATGTGGGGGGGAAGGGGGAGAACAATAATCAACAGGATGGCGGAGAAAGGGAGCCCGCCGTTCACGGTCACGGGGGAGGAGGGCATTGCTCCCCCGATCCTAGTCGGATGTGGCGCTCGGGATGGCGGATCCCAGCTCGCACACCCCTTGGCCTAACACTACGTTCCAAATGGGATGGGGCGGTATCCAACGAACTTTACCCCTTCACTGTCATCCCTACCCCAGAGGACGAAAAAAGTGATGACAAAACCATTTGCTTCTGAGTGGGTTCCCAACTTGGAATATAATGTATAATCCAGCCAAAATGCAGGCTCCACCGCCCCCCCTCTCCTTTTCACACTTTCAAATTGGATTTTATATGAAGCTTAGCTCTTTACAAACCACACATGTGTCCATAACAAAAATTAGATTATTTCTATCTGTCATATAATGTAGTGTAGGTGCATGTATTTCAAAAAAGGCACTCGATCACCAACCAACGGTTCAGATTAAATTATAGAGATAGGTTCAGCTTACAAAGAAAACTCAGATGGTAATACATTAGTGTAGGACTTGAACACTTGGTTATAATGAAGTGATGTTATACTTCTATAAAAGAGACATTATTCATTGAAAATACAGTGTCTTTTATAACCCTAACTCATCAAGAAATGCAAAAAAAAAAAAAAAAATTAAAATGTTATAATGGATTTATGAAAGATTTTCTTAATGTGATCCAGAGGGATTAGCAAGAGTAATGGATGAATTTACCTTTGAATGGGAATGATATTTGGTGGAGGGGCATAGTCACAAGCACATGATGGCATGATGAACATGCATAACTTGAAATACACTGCACTTCAATAAAAATCTGTTGTGATATTACTAGAGTATGAATTTACATAAAATCAGTGGCAACATTATTTCTCTTCATACTAGCACACAAATGGAATTAGGAAAAAGGGGGAAGTAATGAAGAGACAAAGCATGGGATCACACATCGTTTAGCGTTCAGCTATTCATGGTGGTTTCAAGGTACTTAGAACACTTTTTGCTGAATGTGCCATATTTTTCTGCAACATTCTCGCGTGCAAATAAATCGTGCGAGTGTGAGTTCAAGAGGAGAGTCAAGAGTGTGAAGATGGGAAGATGCAATTTCAAGGCGAAAGTCATTGTTCATTTTACTTCTCTAAGCATGTGATTGGACTCCATTCGAATTAGAACAAGCAAAGAATTACTTCGTCCATACGAGAATTACTTCTCTAAGCATGATGATAAAGTAATGGAAAAATCAACAATAATTCTCTCATCATCTTCCTTCGTCCATACGAGAATTACTACTGATTTGCGATGAGAGAACTACTGTTGATTCCCCCATTATTTTATAATCATCGAAGAATGTTCCAAATCAACACATCATGCATGGCGTATACCGTTCTTATGGTATGTATAAAGACTAACATTAGAAACAGATATCAACTGAAATGCTCTAGGAAGTTGTTGTGTTTGGCAATAAAACAAGTAGAGAGAACTCTTCTTCGTCTCCGTACTTGTCGAAAGTCAAATTGTCTTTGCTTGTTCTAATTCGAAAGGAGTCCAAACACATGCTCAGAGAAGTAAAATGAACAATGACTTTCGCCATGAATTTGCATCTTCACATCTTCACACTCTTGACTCACCTCTTGAACTCACACTCCCACGATTTATTTGCATGTGGGAATGTTGCAGAAAAATATGACATATTCAGCCAAAAGTGTTCCAAGTTGCCTTACTACCACCATGAATACTATCATTTTCACCTCTTTCAAATTCCTTGAGGCACATATAGTGTTAGTCTATTCTTCGGAGTGTCCATGGAATTTTGAGGGCCAGTCTCCCTCGTTGGTCAGAGGATGACAATGCTAGAGAAAAGATTTCCCTCATCACGCAACCCTTCATCTGCATCCTCCACGACACCACCAAAGCAGGGCAGTTTGATCGACTTTGCATTGAGCCTTCATCACACAGAGAAGATGGTCGGGGGAGAGGTCTTGTTCATTGCACTGGAACCGTGAAGAAGAGACTACTCGTAGGGCATCCAACGAGTGGCGGAAGTCAGCAGATGTTCCTATGGCATGAATGAGTATTAGTGTGAAAGGCAGAAGCAGCAGCTTTGCACAAGTAGCAAAATAAGTTGTATTGCATGACACGCCTCGTGGTCGTCGCTCACCACTTGCCGGCCGAGGAAACCAATGAATTCAAAGGTGGCAGCCTCCTGCGGCACATGGGTGGCGGCAGCGGCGTTAAGAGATCCCAATTTCAGTGTGAGCTCAGCGGTAGTCACCGGCTCCAACTCCATAAATTTGGAGATCAAAGGTGGAGGAGTAGCTTCACCAGCAACGCTAAGCCTGCATCAACAAATACTTACCTGAATGTCTTTGCTTGAAGTATTTGAAAATTCCCCACAACCTACTTATGTTTTCGTCAGTGCTATATTCATTTCTATTGGTCTTTTTTGTTGTTACAGATGACATCCCTGGAGTGAGTATCACTATGCACTCTATTTTGACTAACATGACATTGCAACTGCAAGATGAATCCATCATAAGAATTTCAGAAAACTCTCCTGTGGCAAAATATACTGTGAATGTTTTACAAGTTTGCAAGGGATGCCTCTGCTTGCTACAAAAGACAGTAATGGTAATAAAATAGGGGTGTATTTAATGAAACAGTGGTATATACTTACAGAACTGCTCCATAGTTCATCAATGTGATAATAAAATTTGGTAGACTGCTCACTAGAAGGTTTATCAATTGTCTAGCCTCTATCAAACATCCTCAAAAACTTCCTTCACCGTATATCTCACTCAATCCAGTGCTATGGAACTTCTCGTCTGCAGAAGCTTCATTGCCTTCAAATCCCCATTGATGCCAAGAAATTGAGTTGGATATATGCTCAAGTGCACCGCTCCAAACTTTATATAGAGCATTGAGGGGTGAAATTTGTTGAACAGTGGACATAAGAGTGTCTAGGTAAATAAGCACATCATTAATATGTTCATTTCCTTCCTGAGGAGCATCTTTTACTGTCCAGTTCACATTTTCAGCGAGTGACGTGAACTCATCCAGCTTCGTATTCACCAAACTTAATAAAGCAAGAGATGCAGCATCACCTGAAGTTTTTTTTAGAATAGTCTTGGCAGTCAAACTGCCTTGAGGTATTTCAACTGAACAGACAGGTATCCCACATTGTTGGGGTTGGAGAAAATAATCACTCGCTTGCATTGCCTGAGACACACCAGTTGTGCCACTGTGAATCATATCAAGTATTGCTTCATTGAGGACGTCGATATCCAAATACTCACTTCTTAACAAAATCATAGTAGTTCATTTGGGTAGCCACTCATTCACTTCAGTGCAAACTTTCTTCTCAATGTGTTACTTTATTAACAGTATTCTTGCTTCAATGATCACCCTGATCTTCTCCACATGATTGTTCAAAGAAGGGTACAACAGACCTTCAGAAATGTGGATATTGCATTTGACACAAAGCTCCAGCATGTTGACACATCTCAATGGCTTTGTAACACAGTAACATTCATTTTAATGGACTAAGACTCAAAAACGAAGCTCTTCGAACTTGAATTTCTTGTAATCTAAAGTTATCAGTTGCAAGTTCAGCTTTGAGCTCTTCGGCATCAACTAACACACCACGAAGCTTATCCACGGCAAGAATAAAATCCTCATAGTGAAGTTTGCAAAGCTCCTCTTTCAACATATTTTTTCTTGACAACATTTGTTAGCTGGAGTAGGAGGGTTTCCGGCTAAAGAACCTAAATCATCTCCATTATTAATCAGAGTTACTAGAACAGTCTCCTCAATCATATCACCATTCTCTGTCGAAGTCCTCCTCTTAGTTTTGAACTCATGGTTATAAGCAATGCCTGCATGCATGAATCCTTAACATTAAAACCAATTTGTTTTAACTTCAAACACAATAGCTGCTGGCAGTTTGCAAATCACATCCATATAGAGTGGTGAAGAATATGGGGACAATGTGAAATGATAATAAAATAATAAATTTTGTCTTAAACAAGCATTCAAATAATTAAATAAAAAAGTTTCAAAATGGAAAAATATAATTTGCAAAGTACATCATAACTTAGTTATTTAAACGTTGATGGAATATTCTGTTTCAAAAAATTCTACATTTTTCTAAAAACAATAGTACAATATTACAATAAACTATTTTAAAGATTTTTAAACCAAAATTAAAATTACATTTTACTGAGTGCATCATAATTTATTTCTTGGTTCAATTATCATATTCCATATTTTAAATGTCTCTTTTTCTCAATTCTGTCTCACACATAACAATTTGATTCAACAATCCACATTAATATCATTTTACACAAAAATGAATTGCTAAAACGTCAAAAAACAATTAAATAAACAACCTCATTCCATACAAAATGGAAATAATATACGGAAAATAAAATGGTAACCTACAAATTAAACAACACATAAACCTATTCTGTAAAGTGCAAACTGCAAACCAATAATTTATTTTATTCAATTTTTAGAAAACAAAAACAAAAACTTGAAATACCTGGACAGCTGAACAGAGGCATAGAGCCGCTGCTGTGGTGCGGGCGGCGTGGTGAGGCCAGGATGGCGGCGCCTCGAGGACACGATGAGGAGGAGGAGGCGTGCGGCCCTGCGGGCGGGGGCGGCGGCAGTGAGGGCGGGGACTGTGGTGCTGTGGTGCGGAAGGAAAGAATAGATTGAGGGGTATTCTTTTTTTATCTTTTAATTTAAGGGTCAATAGTGTAATTTAACAATGATAATATACTCCCTCCGTCCTTAAATAGATTACAATTTTTTTTTCTCTCCTCTCGATAACTTTTGTTTGTTTATGAGATTTTATTAAATATTTGATAAAATAAAATATTCTTGTCACATCTTATTTTGTAGAATTTTTGACGTAGTTTTTTAATGTGTAATTTTTATATCTTATTAATATACCAATTTGTAAATAAAATAATTTCAAAAAGTAAAAAATTTCACTCCGTAACCCACAATTTGTAATCAAATTGGGGACAAGGAGAGTATCTTTTTTGTCATATACAATTCCAAAGGTTGTTTCGTTTGCGTCGTTTGTGAATTACATTCGCTTTCTAGTACAACCATAGCCTACAAATGTGGTCTTTCGTCGGAATCCTATCCCATAATCATAGTCATTATTTTTGTGTTATCCACTTAACCAATATCAGAACACATCACTAGACATAATATTGATGTCAAATTATACTTTTAGCATTTAAATTAACACCAACATGACAGAAAATCAAAAAAAAAATCATTTGTGGAAAGACACCTTTAAAAAAAGGACTACAAAAGTAATATTTGATAATAGATGACTAAATATGGAAACCCCTTTATTATAAAGGAGCAATTATGAAATTTACTCGGAAGGAAACTACTCCGTATTTAATTGTACCTCCATTTTAACGGACTGGGCTTTGAATTTTGGAAATTGGACTATAGCACAGCAATATTTGGATGGGGCACCCCATTAATCAACCCGGAAAAAAAATCTGAAGTATTGGGCGTATCTCATTGGGCCGCCATCCCCCATATAACAACAACGTAAATCCGCCCCGTCTAAAATACCTCGGACCAGGCCTAGGTGGAGTTGAGCTGTATTTGTTTAAAATTTATTTTTTTTAGAGTTAAATATACTTTTAGTTCATGTAAAATAGCTGAATTTTTGTTTTTCGTCTTTGTAAAAAATTTTGTTAATTCATCCTTACAAAATTTTTTATTATTAAAACGGCTTTTAAAGATAACTTCTACTTTTAATTTATTGAGATAATACATGTCTTTCGTACTAAATATCATAGTCATGCACTTCTACTACCTCCGGCACAATTTGCATGCACTAAATTTTGTCGTATTCATGCAGACTCCAATTCCTAAATATTTTGGGAATATCGTATAACATAATTTAGACATTAGAGATGTAATTCGGCCAAAGAACGCAATTTATGACATGAGAATTGTATATAAGTTAATTATAAATGTAATATTATAATGCTGAGTATGAAATAAACGTGTTATGTCAAAAAATTAGAAGTGTTAACTACGTTTAAGAAACATTTTCAAAACAATTTTTTTTTTATAAGTGTGCATGACTTCACAAAAAATACAGAGACTAAAAACAAATTTAACCTTTTTTATTTGTTACTTGTGTTATAATTTGATTTAGATTCGATTCAAAGTTTATCAGATTCATTCGAATGAGATTCATTCAAATTTGTACGAAAAAATGTTGAAAAATAAATAATATACTAATAACAATAATAGTAGTAATAATAATAATAATAATAATAATATCACTTCATCTCTCTCATAAAGAAATGCTCATTTTGAGTTTACAAAATTAAAAAAATGTTTAAATGATATTGAAAATATATTGAATAATAAATCGTAGTGTTAAATTTTTTCCATCATATCTTAAGAGTGTGTTTTTTCCGTTCCGCTACACCGTTCGGCTGAGGTGTTTATGAGAACTTACTTGATGCAAAATTCCATGTTCTGCACTCAACTCGGTGCATGAAGTGTCGTACTCCCCACCCATATCACTCCTAATCGCTTTAGTTTTGCGATTGAGTTGATTCTAAACTTCATTCTTATACTGAATGAAAGTATCCAATGCATCATCTTTACTTTTAAGTAAATAAGTATAGTAGTACTTCGTGCTATCATCGCCAAATGTGATGACATATTTGATACCACCTCTTGAAGGCGTTGTTTTGAAATCACACTGATTCGTGTGATCTAGATCTAGTGGCTGAGTAGTTCGTTCAATCGTTTGAAATGAACTTCGTGTTGACTTCGTTTCGGAACACGTATCTCATTTCTGGGACAAGTCGATGTCAAACTACATGTCAATTAATTTCCGAAAAGATAGATAATTAACATATCCTAGTCTACTATTCCAAAAGTTGAAAGACTCGCACACATAGGCAACAAGAGTTTTATTAGTCTTCTCAATAATAGTGAGTATATTAAACTTAAAAAGCTCATCAAAAACATAGCTTTTGCCCATGAATATTTCCTTCTTTCCCAAGATCAGCTTGTCAGACACAAACACCATGCAGAAGCCCTATTTGTTCAACATCGAGCCTAACACTAAGTTCTTGCATATATCTGGGACATACATAACGTCATTCAGTGTGAGCTCCTTGCTGGATATCATCTTGAGCTTTAATTTGCACATGCTTTGAACCTTGGATTTGGAGGAGTTTCCCATCCATACTTTGTCGCCAAAAGTCTCCTTAAAGTTAAAGAGTATGGCCCAATTGGAGCAAATGTGATGAGCGGCTTTGGTGTCAACCCACCACTCTTTTGGGTTAGACCCGACTAAGTTGACCTCTATCACAACCTCACAAAGATTCATAGCATCTAGCTCCGTGCAAAGGGTCTCTTCCTTCTTTTACTTTTTCTTCTAAGGCTTCTTACGACACCTCTTTTAGGACCAAGTTTATTCTTGTCCTCGTTTGGTTTGGGCTCTCTGGAAAAACCCCCCTCCTGTGGATGATCCACCACACTGGCCTTAGCAAAAGTTCTTTTCTTCTCGTGAGCCAGACCCTCTTCTCGAACCCGTAGATGAACAAGTAACAGCTCCAAGGTGATCTCTTCTCGTTTAAGCTTGCGATAACTCTAGAACTCATCCCATGTCGGCAGGAGTACATAAATGATCTCTACCACTGGGAATGCTTCACTGAATCTCATTACGTCGGCAGTACACTCATAAAAAACGAGGATCAAAACTTCAGCCTGACTAAGTACGGGTTTGGACTTCACCATCTTAAAATCTAGATACTTACCGATAATAAAATTCTTTGACCGCACCGACATTCTCGGCCTGATATTTGTTGGACAGTGTAATCCATAACTCCTTTGTAAACGAGATCTTACAGTAAACGCATACAAGGTGTCATTAAGACAATTCAGGATAAGCTTGAGACATAGATAGTTATTCACTTTCCATGCCTCCCTAGCCTGAATAGTTGGCTCGTCCGCGTTCACCCCCACATCAGGGGGTCCTCACTCAAGTACCTCGCAAGGATGAGCATGGTCAACCAAAACAACATCTTCTACTGCCACATCTTAAAGTAGATGCCTCTAAACTTTGTCAGTTCCTTGACATAGTTCATATGCATTGTGACAATAAGATATCCAACCAGGAAGGATGCAAAAGCACCCACATTGGTCCAAAAGAGGGAATGCCTGGTACGGCCGAGCGTGTGTGGTCCAAGAAAGTTAACTGGGATGGCCGAAGTCATGCTCGGTCCAAGTGGGTGACCGTTGCAGCCGTAACCGCGATCGATCCAACAAAAGAAGTCACCGGAGCGAACCCCATTGTCACGCTCGGTCCACCAAAGGTGATGATCAGAGCGGGTAATTCCTTGACGAAACATCTTCTCAAAGGTGATAATTATGATATTTGGGAGAAAACCATTGTTAATGCTCTCGAAGGACGTAGCAGAGCAGGTTTTCTCAACCCCTCCGGGTTTCCTAAACCCACTGATGAACAGGAATTGGTGACATGGAAAGCTAATAATTCCATTATTTGCTCTTGGATGTGTAAGAGTGTTGATGAACACATCCAGCCCTCCATTATCTCCCATAAAATTGCTCATGAATTATGGTTAGATCTGAAGACCAGATATGGAGGTTCGAATGGCCCCCGTATTCATCAACTGAAATCTGAGTTCCAATCTTTACGCCAAAAAGGACAGACGGTGGTTGTTTACTATAATCAATTTGTGACTTTATGGAACAAGCTGTATGGATCTGTTGATCCAACTTGTGGTTGCCGGTGTGAGGCTGCGGCTTTGATTCGGGCGCGTGAGGAACATGAGAAAACTCATCATTTTCTGCTCGGTCTCGACGACGAACAGTTCGGTCACATCCGCTCTCAGATTATTGCCACCAAACCTGTTCCGGACATACACCGGGCTTATGCACTCATCGTTCAAGAGGAACGCCACAAAACCATTGTCCGAGGCCGAGATGGTCGTACGGACGCCCTCGCATTTGCCATGCAACGTCCCGCTCCTACCATGGGTCGTGGAGACCCCCCCATTATTCGTGCACTCATTGTGGAAAAGATGGCCATTCCGTGGATCGTTGTTATCAATTGCATGGATATCCGCCCGGGAAGGTCCGTGGGGGTCACGGCACTGCATCCGGCTGTGGGGGTCGTGGCGGTGGCCGAATGCCGTCTGGCGGCAGTAGCACCCCTGGCCGTGCGTCGAGCTGAGGGGTAGGATCGGCGACAGGGGGAGCAAATGCAGCCACCAACTCCAACACCTTGGGCCTCACACCTGATCAGATGACACGTTTACTTTCCATGCTCGACGTTTCGTCTACCGACAAGGATACCGGGCCTAATGGTGATGCATCTTCTCGTGAGTGGCTTATTGACAGTGGCGCCTCTCATCACATGACTGGTAATATCTCTTTTTTAATCGATGTGGTTCCCATGGCCCCCTGTGTCATCACGTTACCCAATGGCACACAGACTACAGCCACTCGATGTGGCCGAGTGTGGCTCTCGCCTGAAGTTGTGCTTCGGGGTGTTTTGCTTGTTCCTCATCTACAGTGCAATCTTATTTCTGTTGGTTGCCTTATTCGTGATACCTCTTGTCTTGTTATTTTTAACAAAAATCGTTGTGTCATACAGGACTGTGTCACGAAGATGGAGATTGGACGGGGTGATGCACACAATGGAGTTTTCATGTTTCGTCCATCTTCTCTAGCACTTGTTACCCAAGTGGATCCTTCTCTTCTTCATAAATGCTTGGGGCATCCTTCTATTCAAGTTTTGTCGTCTCTTATTCTTTCTGCGAGTAGCTCTAAACTTAAATTATTGCAATCATGTGAAATTTGTTTTCAATCCAAACAAGTTCGTAGCTCTTTTCCTGTCAGTTCCAATAAAGTTACTAGTGTTTTTGACCTAATTCATTGTGATTTATGCGGCTCCTACACCCCCTATTTAGCTACTGGTACACATTATTTTCTCACTATTGTGGATGACCACTCTCGTGCCGTTTGAGCTTATTTGATCATTGATAAATTTGAAGTACCAAGTTGTTTGAAACAATTTTTTTCCATGATACAGACCCAATTTCATAAAACAATAAAAATTGTTCGTTCTGATAATGGCACCGAATTTGTCAATCAGGACCTTCGGTCATATTATGCCACTTTGGGTGTTCTTGTTCAAACTTCTTGTGTCGGCACTCCTCAACAAAATGGTCGGGTAGAACGTAAACATAGACACATATTAAATGCCGCCCGCTCTCTTATGTTCCAAGCTCACATGCCTATTGAATTCTGGGGGGAATGTGTTCGTACCGCTGTCTATTTAATTAACCGTACTCCCAACAAACTATTTGGTGGCAAGTCTTCGTATGAAGTTCTAAATCACAAAGCACCTAACCTTAGTCATCTCCGAATTTTCGGATGCCTATGCTTTGTACGACTCAAGACTTCTAATAAATTTTCTCCTCGAAGCACCAAGTGCATGTTTGTTCGGTACCCCTCCGGCACAAAAGGTTGGCATGTGTATGACCTTGATACTCATCGTTTTTTTCACACTCGGGACATCGCTTTTGACAAGAGCAAGTTCCCGTTTGCCACACATCACACGCTGGGCGAACCCTCTACCTCCACCCCACACGCCGATTTTCCCAAATCACCCCTGCCCGGCCCCCTTCCGACTGCCGTTACTGACGGCCAGCCTGCCCAGCCGACGGCTTCCACCGAGCAGCACACCGTTGCCCAGCCTCACTCTCATACAGCTGCCGCTCCTCCGCTTCATCCTCAACGGCAGCATCGTCAGCCATCCGATCTTAGTGATTACATCATCAATTCTGTTCAATCTCCCGCTCCATTGTGCTCATTGCCTTCCTAGTCGTCGTCTTCAGGTACACGTTATCTTATTGCCAACTTTGTTTCTTATCATAAATTGCATGACAGGTATCGAGGATTCCTTGGCGCCATCAGTCCTCATTTTGTTCCCAAAAATTATTCTGAGGCGGTTCCACACGCCAATTGGCGTGCGGCAATGGACACGGAGCTCCGAGCATTGGCCAATAATAACACTTAGGAAATCTCATACTTGCCTCCGGATCGAACAGCTTTGGGCTGTCAATGGGTTTTTAAGACCAAGTTTAATTCAGATGGCACTAAAGAACGGGACAAGGCCCGTCTGGTTGTTCATGGAAATCATCAGACTTTGGGGGTGGATTACACTGACACTTTTGCCCCGGTAACAAAAATGGGGTCTGTCTGTGTTTTGCTCTCTATGGCCGCGGCAAAGGGGTGGCAGATGCACCAACTCGACGTTAACAACGCCTTCCTTCATGGTGATCTGATTGAGGAAGTATACATGTGGTTGCCACATGGACTTTCACAGCTGTATCCAGGCAAGGTTTGTCGACTGCGCAAATCCCTTTATGGTTTGCGTCAATCCCCCCGAAACTGGTTCGGGAAGCTCACCTGTGCCCTTCGGCGGTACGGGTTTCGTCAGGCCCATGCTGATCACACCCTCTTTATTCATCGTCGAGGATCTGACATTCTGGCTGTCTTGGTTTATGTTGATGACATTTTGGTTGCAGGTAACAACCCCACCTTATGTGCTTCTTTTAAGGTTTATCTTGATCGATGTTTTCACCTGAAGGACTTGGGACCCTTATCTTATTTTTTGGGCATTGAGTGTGCTCGATCTGCGGCGGGTATTGTTCTTTGTCAGCGGAAATTTGCACTAGACATCCTTCATGAAGCCGGTGTCTTGGGCTGCAAACCAGCCGACACACCCATCACGCCGAACCACGGGCTGGGTAGGTCGACTAGCGCCGAGCTTCGTGACCTGGCACAGTATCGGAGACTTGTGGGTCGTTTAATCTACCTCACTATCACTCATCCAGATCTCACTTATTCGGTTCATGTTATGTCTCAATTTATGCATGCGCCTCGCCTTGATCATATGGAAGCTGCCAAACGGGTCCTTCGCTACTTGAAGGGTCATCCAGGTCAGGGTATCCTCCTACGTAGTGACAGCTCACTACAGCTATCCGTTTATAGCGATTCCGACTGGGCATCTTGTCCCCTTACTCGTCGTTGTGTTTGCGGCTACTTCATTCTTCTAGGTGGCTCCCCAGTTTCTTGAAAGACAAAGAAGCAAACCACCGTGTCCTGATCATCAGCAGAAGCTGAATATCGTGCAATGGCTAACGCATGTGCAGAAGTGCGATGGATTCGCGGTCTTCTTGGGGCGCTCGGCATTTCTTCACCAACGACGCCACGCTTGTTTTGTGATAATAAGTCCGCTTTATTTATTGTTGCCAATCCTGTTTTTCATGAGCGCATGAAACATATTGATATCGATTGTCATATTATTCGTGAATGTATTTAGCGCGGTGAGATCGCTACAGCATATGTTCCTACTCGTCTACAAATTGTTGATCTATTTACGAAGGCTTTGAACATGCCTCTCTTCGCGTTCTTACTATCCAAGTTGGTATTTGTGATCTCCATGCTCCAACTTGAGGGGGAGGGTTGGCATATATATATTTATTTACTTCCATTTATGTATTTATTTACTTGTAATTTATTTCCTTGTAAGTAGTCTTTTCCATACTTGTAGTAGGACTTGACTCGTGTATATATACGTTGTGAATATTCAATGGAAAGCAGTTCAGTTTTTCACAAATTTCTACACGAATAGATACCAAAATTTCCTGAAAAAACCAAGAATAGCGAACCAAAAAAGTACCAAGAACGAACCGAACTGTACCAAACCAAATGGTCGGTACGGTATTTGGGAACGGTATGGGGTGACGTCCCATACCGAAAATCCCGAACCAAACATATATACTAAAATATTATTAAAAATAATACCCCGGAGTAATATTTTTTTTATTCCTTCACTTTATAATTTTTTTAAAGAAATTGGCTCAAGTTCTATTATATATAAATTATATTTTTATTTGAGTTTTAGTTTTTGTTTATGAACATAAAAATATTCACAAAGATTTGAAATAATCCTTTTTTGTTGTTCATTTTTTTAGTTTTTGAATTATAAACTATGTTTTGATACGCATCTCTTGCATTTAAATATTCTTTTTTTTTTATTTTTCATGTTTTTTAATTTAAATTCACTTTTAATTTTCAAAAATAAAGGGGCATTGTTAAATTTTAAGGTGTAAAGTAGGTATGTATATTCATCCCAATTTGTACTGAAACTGATACCGAACCATCCCGAACAATACTGAATCGATATTTCGAGATCGGGAGCGGTACAGAGTACAATCCCATACGGAACAAAAATATTTGGCACAGTATCGGTACGAGCTAAATACTGTTCCATACCGTACAATGCTCACCCCTAAGCATAATGCGGCGAGGTCACTCTGAACAGAACTTACAAAAGGTAAACACTGTAGAAGGGAAGCAGAGTCGTCGGAGCTATCCTTGAGAGTACTAGTGCCCGCCTATCGTACCGGAATAACGTGGGCACTCTTATCCCAAGATAAAACCGTTATCGTGTGTGGTGATTATACAGATCAACCACACACCAATGAACAAGAACAACGTCGCAACGTTGAAACCGAAATCTCGAATAGGATCGCTGGAAATTGGGCCGATAAACTAAGAGCTCTCTCTAAAGAACAAGGAAGAAAATTTCTTTCTTTCTTTTCTCCTCCCTCTTCGACACATATGGAACTCCACAAGGTGAGAGGAGCCACTTGATTTTGCTAACTAAACATTTTAAAAAGTGTAACCTACACACTTAATGCTTAGTATTAACCATGGCATTTGTGACACAATAATGGCATGTTAATTGTAATTAAGTAGCCATTGTCTTGAATAATTGGAGATTAATAGTCAGTTAACTCCGGAAAAATGGAGCAATTTTAAATACCACGTAAAAATAATAATAGATGGTTGGTTCAATAAAATTGTTAAAATTGTAATCTTTACCATATTCTTATATTAATGGGTGTATACTCTGAGAATTAATTTCTCATTCACGCTTTCATCAGTTTTGGCATCTAATTTGTCAAAAATATTTATCTCATTTAAGAAAACACACGCCCATTAATTAATGGTTAAAATTGTTAGTGCACCTATTGATAATGGTACCCAAGTTGGTCTATTTAATGCCTATTAAAAATGTCAAAAATTCCAAATCCTCCGAAAGGCCATCAAGTCATCTCTCATCATCTTGCAACGACTTTGAATATGTCGTTTTTCTAAGATCTTTGCTAGGCCTAGATTTTGATC